TACCGCATTTAAAGATTCACAAAATTCATGCATTTTCGTGAAATTTTCTAATTTATGAGAAAAAAGCAGTGTACATGGATATAGTGAAGAGTGCAAGCCATTTTTGTGCAATTCTGGGATTTTTTAAGTAAAATAAGTCGACATGTAAATGGTTTAGTGAATTTAATAAATGTAGTTATTTTGTGAATTTAGTTGCAGGAATTTGGTATGTTCAGAAAGTTCATTTTAGAAGGGTATATACTTTTTCGCGATCAGGTAATTCATTATGTTTTTTTACGCATTTAAAGATTCAAAAAATTTTCATGCATTTTCGTGAAATTTTCATAATTAGAGAAAAAAGCAGTGTACATGGATATAGTGAAGAGTGCAAATGCCATTTTGTGCAATTCGGGATTTTTTTTAAGTAAAAATAGTCGACATGTACATGGTTTAGTGATATTTTAATTAGAAATTAAATGATAGTTTTAATTAATGGTAGTGACATGGATATAGTGAAGAGTGCAATGCATTTTGTGCAATTCTGGGATTTTTTTAAGTAAAAATAAGTCGAATGTAAGGGTTAGTGATATTTTAATTAAATGATAGTTATTTTGTGAATTTTATGTTTGTAGAATTTGGTATACATTTCAGAAATGTTCATATATGTTTTTTTACCGCATTTAAAGATTCACAAAATTTCATGCATTTTCGTGAAATTCCTAATTATGAGAAAAAAAGCAGTGTACATGGATATAGTGAAGAGTGCAATGCCATTTTTGGCAATTCTGGGATTTTTTTTAAGTAAAAAATTAAGTCGACATGTACATGGTTAGTGATTATTTATAAATGATAGTTATTTTGTGATTTTATGTTGTAGGAATTTGGTACATTAGAAATGTTCATCATTAGAAGGGATGTTTAGGAATTTGGTATATACGTTTCAGTGGAAGTAAAGTGCATGGAAATAATTTAAATTTGACATAAGTATTTGTAACCATTTGTAAGTTTGCGGTATGAATTAGTTGGTGACGTTTTATATATAAAGATAATTTAGAGGTAAAAGTTTGGCAATGATTAGTTTAAAGTAATTAGGATTGTAAGCTAATTTATAATTTAATGATGTGCTTATTTATATTTTAAGTGTTTTTAAATTTAATAAATGATAGTTATTTGTGAATTATATGTTGTAGGAATTGGTATAATTTCAGTTTGAAGTAAACGTGCATGGAAGTAATTTAAATATGACACTAAGTTTTACCATTCTAATGTTTGCGGATGAATTAGTTGGTGACGTTTAATATAATAGTAATTTAGTGATAAAGTTTTGGATATTTTATTATTTTATACGTGGAAATGTTCATTTGGAAAGGATATACTTTTTCGTGATCAGGAATTCATATATGGGCTTTTTTACCGAGTTAAAGATTCAAGAATTTTTTTGTTTTCGTGCAAATTTTTGCAATTTATGAGAAAATAGCAGTGTTGATGGATTAAAGTAAGAGTGTGTGCAATGCCATTTTTGTGCAATTTGGGAATTTTTTTAAGTAAAAATTCGTCGACGTATAAATGGTTTATGTGTATGTTATTCTGAAAAAGCGCAAGGAGTTTGCGATTGATGCACCTTTCCCAATTGCAGTAATATTGTCATATTAAGCAGTTTGTTACATAAAATTCTAGCATAAGTGTAATTCGGCTAGTAGATGTGTGGAAAAGTGTTCAGTAAATAAAGAAAAACATGTCTTACTTCGTGAAGACAAAATGGAGGCGAAAAAAAAATAGAGGGTTGCTGTAGCAGAGTTGGTCGCCAAATTTTCTCCAAGTTACCATAATCCAAAGATCAACCCAGTCAAGAAATGAGAAGAAATTAGTGGTGAATGTCCTGCCAGCTATTGGTATAAATAATGCTTCCTTTATGACATTCACATACGGGTAGAAGGTAGGCCAGCATCTCTAGTACCACAGGTGATCGAGGTGTTGCTAAACTTAGCTAACTGTTAAGCTTCTGCACCAGTTTTAAAGGGAAACATATCAGGACTTCCACTCCTCTTCCCCCGCTACGAACCTCTCAAGAGGATTTTCAGCACAATATCTATTTTTTGTCCCCCCTTCCACACTTCAGCAAAGTTTCGGCCGACTGATTTAGAACAGCGACTAAAAAATATTCAATCGATTCTTTGCATAATTCCCCGAAAACCCACAGGAAGAAGGGCAGAAGAATACAACCAACATTGCTTTTTCTTTGACTGAGCTTGTTCACTTCAATAATTTCCTTACATCTGCCAACTGTCAACATAGTTACATTGTGGTTCATCTTCAGTTGGAGCTCAAAAAGTTCAATAAATATCATCTCCTGACAACAAAAACAGAGGAAAGCACAACTGTAAGGAAAGGGGATTTTTAATTCTTTGAACCAGTTTTGTGTTCTTAGTCCATTCAGGACAGCAGGATTCTTTCTTGCAATACCATTTCGCTGTTGAGTTATAAATTAAAAAAATTCATCTTGTGATTCTTTGAGCATAATTTTCTATCATGAATGATGCATTTTCTTTGAAAAAATTATGCTGTAGACTTTTTGTCCTTGGGCAATTTCCAAATTGTTAGATCAAATAATTTAAAAATTAAGCTAGTATTTCAATGGCAACTGAGCAATTTGTGATTAAAAAGGGTGTGCAGAAAAAATGTCACCCGGGAAAAAGGGAAACGGAAAGGATGTCCCCGAAAAATAAGGAACGGAAAAAATGTCACTCGGAAAATAAGGAATGGAAAAAAAAGGAACTCTAAAATCTCGCCAAATAATGTCGCTGATTAAGTTGGGTGAACCTGCCAAATTCTGATTTAACGGGCAGGGTTATAGCGGGCTGTCTTGAGGGAGGTTTTAAGAATAAGATAAAACTTTTATCACCCAGCTTGGCAATCTTTCTAAACATGCCTTATATTTTCCATTGCAAACGAAGGGTGACATTTTTTCCGTTCCTTATTTTCCGGGGACATTTCTTTCCGTTTCCCTTTTTTCCGGGTGACATTTTTTCCTACAACCTTAAAAAGGCACCTTTTAATATATATTTTTGCTTCAGTTTCGTACAGTGCCAGTAACGGAATTGTACAAATCTTTTTTTATCAGTTTAACCCTCAGAGTGTCATGATCAGCTTTTATCTGGTCATAAGATTTTTTTTGTCACCTGGTACATATTAGTTAAGATATTTTGCTTTTTTACTTTCTTTTATAATATAAATGCAAGATTATGAAAATAGAGACTAAAATAAAGAAATATACAAATTTAGCTAATAAAGACTGTTTAAATACAGGTCTTCATGATGGATCCAAAAATCTGTGCTGCTCAGAGAGTTAAACCAGAGTGTAGTTCAGGAAAGGGATGCAGTCAGCCTTTTATTTACCTGTTAAGTTTTAGTTTTAGTTTATGAATATAAAAAACTATTCAACATTTTCTATACTTCTTGTTTAGTTTAAAAAACATATTTAAAATAATTTATATAAATGTATTTGTATTTTTCAAGTTTTGGATGGGGAGAATGATCACCAGCAAAGGGTTGCATGGGATAAAAAAGGTTGTGAACTACTGGGTTAAACTGTTGTTGAGTAATTATACTATGTGTAACTGATAAGTATTTCTATAGAAATGTATGCCAAACTTTCTGAATCCATCAAGGTCTATATTTTTTCTACTTAAGAATGTGCACAATAAAAATAGTTTAAAACTTATTTCTGTCTATATTTAAGGAATTTACCTTACATTTTGTGAGCAACTTGGTTATTCAGCACAGAATACTGCACTTGGATTTATTAAGGTGAATAATATAATTTTTTGTTGGTATTTTAGTGTTTTATAGTATTATTTAAGAGCATTTTTATTAGCCTCATTTTAGTTGATAATAGTTCATTGTATAGACTTGATCTCTCTATACAAATTTAAGCATAATCAATATCACAACCAAACTTTTGTCAAAAATGAAATAGTTAATATTACCTACCTATATTCATATTTATCATCAGAATATTTGTCCGAATAAAATATGTTTGCTTCACTACCCATCCTGTTTAAAGGGGGAAAAAATGTATATATATATATAAATTGAAAGTTCAATACATTCAAAAAGTATGAGATACAGTAAATTTATTCTAGAAACTACTTTACATTCATTTAAAACTCATCTTTAACACTTACATCAATATTTGACACATATTATGTCAATCTGTCAAAAATCAGGTTTCACAGAAAAAAATTTAAACTCTAAAAAACAGCAATGAAAGAGAGGTTTTAATACAAGTATAATAATACAATGGGTATACAAGTATAATAATACAAATTTAAAATGGAGATGATAGCAAGAAAATAATAATAACGAAGAAAATCCAGTATGCAGTATTAATTACGATTATTTATTAAAGCCTTTAAAGACAAATATCCTTACACTTAGTCTACACTAAATTGAAAATGCTAATGAACTTAGAAAGATACTTTAAAAAATTATAAAAAACGGAGTTTTGCATCTGAAGAATTTAAAATTAAATTCATTAACACTATTATTACCTCATAAGATAAAAAATTTTAAAACTAAGGAAAAAAGAATGCTAGATCAAAATGGTAACACAAACAACAATTCCAAAGAAACGTAGGGCAAAATCATTTAAACTTTAATAACAAATTCATTTAAATAAGTATGTAAATAAAGGCGCCAAATAACTCATCAACATCTACACACATAAAAAAATTGTGTTCACATAGACTACAGAAATAAATACCTGGTTGAAAAAACAAATATCGGTTAAAATTAGATTCTCGCGCCTTATCCTTGATGCCAGAAAACCGTTCAACCTGAAGCAAAGTTCTTTGATTAATAGGTACTGTGACAAAGTTAAAATATAAGATTCACCTAAATATAAAAAAATTAAAGATTATAGTATTTTAATAATCACTAGAACTACATTATTAAGGACAAAAGACACATTAAAGGACTTTTGCTCCGACTTTCTTCGCTTCGAATATATTTCAATTTTGGAGCTGGCAACTATTGTTTATCAAGTCGGTTTGTTGACTTTAAGGGCTAGAAAAGTGAAATGTTGTTTACATAGCGTTGAGGAAAAAGAAAACTTATTAAAATTTATTTAGAATGGCTTCAATAGAAAAAGTAAAAATTTTGGTGGTTGGAGATTCGGGTGAGTGCTATAAAACGAAACCTTAATTAAAAATTTTTTAATTATTATAAGTGGAATTATATTCCCTTTTTCTGAAATGTTTTCTTTAATCTTCGTTTTTTTATTAATTGGTCTATGAATTTATGTAATTGTTAGCGTTATCTGGCTAGCGCAGGAATTTGAAAAACATATTTGATTACTTTGAAAAATCAGTTGATTTTGAAAAAATTGTGGAGATGACGAAATTATTGAAGAAGATGAAAGCCTTTTCACTCGAAGAAAAAATTTCATTGGCCATGATGACTTTTGGGTGAATAGTGCAGAGAAGCAACTGAATTTTTTTTTTTTTTTTGGTCGCTTTTCCAAACTGATAGGTGAAAATTTTTTAAATGTTATGAAAAAAAGTACTGTAGAAGTAATCATTATTTATACCGATTGGTGGAAAGCATGTAAGTCGAATAAATTGCAGGATGCTGGCTTTGAACATTTTACTATTAAGCACAAGAATGATTTGTGGATCTGGGAGGCAAGTGTCATACACAAACAATAGAGTGGCATTGGGGTAATGCTAAATGGCATAATAAAACACTATCAGGACACTGCTCTACAGCACCTCGAATCTTATTTATGGAAATTGGTGTGGAGATATTTATACACACAGAAAGAAAGAAAGAGAAAAAATTTTATGCCTGCATTTGATTTCAGTTATACTTAGTTGTTTTATTTTTATAGATTGTAATAAAAAATAATATATGAAATTAATCTTTCATCTAAATTAAAATAATATTCTTACATAGTTATTTGCTATTATTTTCCTTGTGATAGAGTTACTGTAACTGTTTTTGCATCGTTTGATGTCAACAGTAGTTTGCTGATTTGTTACAGTCTGGATAATAGAATTGTACCTAATTTCGATACATGTTGTACCTGTATTACAGTATTATCTTCAAAATTTTATAATGAAAAATTATATCAAATAATATCATACTCATGACAGTTTAGTTATTCAGAAACTTTTAAAATGCTTTCATTTAAAAAACTTTTTTTTTTCGTGTTTTTCTCAAGAGATTTTATTTTGCCCTGATTTTTGGTCAGATTTTAATGGTTGCAGAATTCAGGGTTAAATCTGATTGTGGTGTCTCACCTACCAAAATCAGTATTCTTTGTTGCAGATCTGCTGTTAGAATCAGCAAAGAAATAATCAAAAATGCAGTTTTTGAATTTGATCTACTTTTAAACTGTGTGCTTTCTATAACTGTCTTTCTTCCTGAGTATATATTTAAATTAGGACTTGGTAGTCTGTTTAAGGAAATTACTGTTAATTTCTTTATTTAATGTGTCATGTGTTTGATGTCATAAATAAACTGATGTTTTGACAGGGTTAGCGATTTTTCAGAATATCTTTGTATTTAAATAGCAAACATTAATTTAAATTATCTTATTGTTTATGGTATTGTATTGTATATGCTTCTAATAAAGAAAGCAATGCATTAAATTCTTTTATTCATCTATCATTTGAAATGAATAATATAGCAGAATATCTACATTTGTGTCTACATGTACCAGAGGAGTGAGAAATAAGTGAATGCTGAATTTATGCAAAATTGTGAATTTGCTATAAGAAATTATCTTGCTCATCTGATATGAAGCAAAACATTAAAATATATGAGTATATATATGTATATTGTATAATTCTGTAGTGACTTGGACAGACTTAAGATGACATATATGGATTTATTAGAAATAAGCTACAGGTGCTTGGATGCTAAAAGAACATCCAATTACCTTATCATTTATTTGGGTAGTCTTTCTAAGAAATAACACAGTTTTATGAAGAGTGAGAGGAGGAGTGCAGAAATGAGAGAACACAAGAGTGAAGCAGCAAGGTCAGTTTCATCTGATAAGATGGGCAGGCTATTTGCAAAAGCACCAGTAAAACTGAATGGGCCAATGTAATTTTAAATATGTGAATTTTACTTGCTCACATTGTTTGATGCTGCTTTAATATGATTTTTGAACCCTTTAATTTTTTAATGTATGATCAAGATATATTTTGTGGTAGAAAATAAAATTTAATTGTGTGATATCCTTATTAGGTGTTGGGAAATCTTCTTTGGTTCATCTGATCTGCCATTTTGAAGCAATCACTAACCCTTCATGGACAATTGGATGTTCTGTTGAAGTAAAGGTAATGCATACATGATGTTTTTTTCAGAAAAAAATTATATTTCACAATTTTTTATGTATAAAAATCCTCTATTGAATGTGTGGATATTACAAGTATTAAATTACGTTGATCTGGAAATTCTTCAAATTATAAGATTCATCAGATTATAAGAATACCAGCTTCTGCTGGTGTTCTTATAGTTTTATCTATTATGTTCCAAAATAAATTATATTCTTGGTTAAGAATATTTTTCATGTTTTTTTTTTAAAGTAAATTAATCATTTGAACATGGTAGTGACATTCTATAGAATGCTTAGTAAATTTCACAAAAATGTTTCCAAATAAAAATGTATTGATTGGCAAACTAATGTAGAATATAGAAACTTAGCACCAAATTTACCTATGTATAGAATCTTCTGATTCTCTATTTTTCATGTGTATCAAGTACATATTTGTTTCTTCTTAAATTTTAGCTTCATGAATATAAAGAAGGAACACCTTTTCAGAAGACTTATTTTGTAGAACTGTGGGATGTTGGAGGTTCCAGCAGTCATAGAAACAGCAGAGCTGTATTTTATAATTCCTTCCATGGTAAGTTTGTCCTTATAACATTAGACATATGTAATTTTCGAGTTGGATGTTAACCTTACATTAACCAAATATTTGGAATGATAAATAATAAAGTTTTCTTATGTAAATTATTTTATCCTAATTTTAATTGTGTTAACTGAGGCTTTTAAATATTAACATTAGAACGTCCATTGGTGCCGTTTTGATCTTAAGAACATTTGTCACTTTGTTCAGTACTTTTTCTCCCAATACTAACAATTTTATAAGGCTTTTTAATTAGCATGCTTGAGAAGTGCTTGAGAATTCTAATGATATGCTGTTTTTAAATATTGAATTTTATGCGATTTAAGTGCAAAGAACATGATATTTAATAAATAAAGGTAGCACACAAAATGTTAAAAAAAGCACCTTTGTAATAAAATCTGAAAGCTTTCAGATTTTTTAAATTTTTTATTGAAAATATTTGTTTGTTGTAGGTCGAAGAATTGAAAAGAATTAAGGACATATACCGAGGTACCACTTGCAGTCTTTTAGTGAGCATAACATATGCCCGGGGCACACCTGTTTTGCACATCCTCCAAGAAACATTTACTAATATAATATGTAGAATATACTTGTAGTAAGAATATAGTACAAATAATAATAAAATGCAGTATCTGTCGTAAAATACTCTATAATATATATTATAGTCACTACCTAAACTCTAGAAAATCTATACAGTTTTTTGGGATAACGGTCTCAGGTTAGGCTTTAAATTTGGGACAAAAAGTGTAGTTAAATCAAGACTAGAATGGATTCAGAAATCTGTCTCTGTCAGTGGAAAAATCAGATGTACATTCATCTAGAATTAATCAAAAAGATATTATTCATTTTACATATTTATATGCTGTATATAACTACATATAAGTCGACAATATTAAGAAGAAAAATCAAATTTCAAAGTAGGGGCTCGACTTATACGTGGAACCTAAAAAAGAAAGATCCGCCAAATCGATATTATAAAATTCACCCAAATTTTATGATTCTTTTCATGATCGTTATCAACATTATCCTTGTTCAAGAAATTTTCAACGTCCCGTAAATATCAAATTTAGAATCAAGAACACTTAATCGTATAAATCATGTACTTATTTCCTGGTGCAGATGATTAGGAATGCTTATCATAATGCGGGAAATTTCGCATTCTGTGGAAAGGCCAACATCTCTAGCTGATTCTCCGGGCACTTTTCGGCATCTTTTAACATGGATTGTTGTATCAATACCCCTTTTTTCACAAAAAGACTTATCATTTTCTATTGCCTCTTCGCAGATCTCATCTTGAATTTTTGCGAGTTTGGTTGCTAATGGTTCAAGATCATACAATGCTTCTCTAAAATTTATTTTAGAATCTTATACTCTGAGCTGCACACAAGTTCTCCTCAAGAGTTTATGCCAGAAATGGACTTAAGTTATGAAATTAAAATTCAGTGTATTTTGCAATAAATTGTCGCTTCATTTCTGGTGTCATTTGTGTTAGAACTGTCCACTGCTAATTTTTCTTATAGCTGTACTAATTCTTCCAGCCGATCGACAGAAACACTAACTGCTTGTTCTCTGGCACTCCATCTTGTTCCAAGTTTTCTTAAAAGCATTTTTTAATTTCCATCATAATATTGAATGTGAGCAAAAGAGCTATATGTTTTCAGTTATTCCAAAACATATTACAACAACTGGATCTTGCTTTGCTGTAACTCCTACTAAATTTAGTGAGTGATTATCGCAGTTTACAAATAATGCTTCATTATTTTTGTCCATAATTCTTTGTTCAGCACTAAATATAAGACCTGACACCGCAGTTGCATTATCATAACATTTTGATTTACAAATTAATAATTGTTTAAGATCGAAGGGCTTATAATATAATAAAAGACTATAGTGTGTTGTTTGTTATCATTTTAAAATAATAAGCGTGAGCTGTATGTGCATTTCATAAGAAAAATAAAAATATTCCACTAATTTAGAAAAATAAAGTTTTCAGAAAGAAAGAAAGTTTTGCATATGAAGATATTTGATTGATTTGTTGCAAACGTTATTCATAACATTTTTTATCAGACAGATTAAAAAAGGAAATAATTAATTATATTACAATCATTTTTAATTTAAAATATATTTTCCAGAAATCAATCAAAATTTTCCGGGAAATTTGTTTGTCTAGGTGACCATTTGGCACCCATCTGCGAGTGCCACCCAGGGTATGATAGCCTCCCATGCCCTGCTTTTACTACACCACCAACCACTCTATTTTCAGTGCCATTTTTTCTGTGATCCTTATTATACTTTATATTGGGGAAATTTTGAATTAACTGTTTCTCCACTTTTCCCAAACTGCTCTCGTTGCAATTTATTTTGATGCAAACCACATTCATTGTGTCCATCTGTCCAGTATTTATAATTTTAAATTCATCAATGACTTTCAGACCACCATGTACTGTTAGTGCTAGATGAATAATGGTGTAGGGGTGAAATCTACTCTTTTATATTGTAAATTACAGTAGCAGTATAATTTGTTCTTATTTCATTTCTTTCCACCTTTGAAAATATTAAATGTGTAATCTTTTTTCCTTTCAGAATGAAAAGCTGAGTTTTAAAATATGGTTTTAAATTTTAGGTATAATATTAGTTCATGATTTGACAAATCGAAAATCAAAACAGAATCTCAGAAAATGGCTTGCTGAGGTTTTGTGGAAAGATACTTCACCAAAAAAAAACAATGGTTGGTAAGTGCACTTGTTCATGTAATGAATTCTTATTTTATTTATAAATTTGAGTGATTCTGATATTTATAAAATTTATTGTTTATAATAAGATTTTATAATTTTGCTGTATTTCCACCCACCTTTTCCATGGTAGACCTATGTCATCAGAACCTATATTAACAGTATAATATTGCAAATGAGCAGTTAATTAGTACAATCATTAAGTGGCATATAGTACTGTATACTTTATTTTTATTAACATGTTATGTTTTGAATCTTTTCTGCAGTTCTTTTCTTTCTTTAATTTTTCTTTACTTTTTTAGTGTTTAGTCTGTTCCACCAGAGAATGTAAATTACATGAGTATAAATAACCAGTAAGAATCTAAGTTTAGATAAAAAGTTTGGGCAATTTAAATCTCAGAGCACAATGATATTATTTATTTATTTATTTATTTTTTTCTGCTAGAGTACTTACTTTATAAATTAACTTATTTTTTGGTAACTATGTGAAAAGACATATTAGCAAAGGAGCTATATGTGTAGTTTTTAACATTTTGATTTTTAAATATACAACTACTATTATATTATCAAGGCATAAGCAGTGGAGATTATATTATTTTCTTTAGCTGTATCATCAAGCTTAAATAGCTGTATTTTCAAGCTGAAATATCAATATATACTTAAGTTACTTGTGTATATATATATATTTATATATATAAATTTGTGTTGTATATTTCTAAATCATGACTAGATGGAAACAGTCTAGTAAGGCTACTCATAGTTTAAATGTATGTAAGTGTATTCATATGCAGCATTATATGTAGTGTTTTTTATTCATTTGTGACAAATACCTCTTATAATTAAATACTTAATCTGTTTGAAGTTGCAATTTTTAGTCTGGTCAAAAAAGGTTAAGATGAAATATTGCATAATGTTTTCAAAAGTAGTGATAAAATTTTAAATGTTTGTAAAGGTTTATTTTCAATTGAAGCTATGTTTATAGGTAATTTACAAAGGAATAAATAGATCTGCATTTTCAGTCTTTGACAGACTCAGCCATTCTGTATCTCTAAGAAGTAAAACTGAGAAGAATATAATTGCAAAGTGATCTAACTATTTTATTGCCTCTTTGAAAAGAATTAAAAATTCCTGTTTCAGTTGATGTATATCATCAAGTAGAGTAGGGTGGTGAATTCACTGCTGATATAAAGGAATACTGCTAGTTATTACACTTCTTCTGAGAAATCAATAATAAACTCTTTTAAAGTGAGCTGATATATTTTTCTTTTTCAAAAGAGTACTTTAGAGAGATAACAAATAGTCTCTTTTCCATTTATATCTCAATTTTTTCCCTTTATTTTGAGGAGAGACCACTTTTTTTTCTGTAAATAGTGCATAATCTTTTACTCGTGCTGCAATTGGAGGAAAACTCTATTTAATGGAATGTATTTTCCACTCGGTATTGAATATGTATTGATATATAATCCCATTTTAGCAGTTTTTGAATATCTAAGAAATTTTGAGATGCAGAATGATGAATAGCTATCCCAGTTTTTCATTGTTGTCCTGGTAGAATACCAAATCTCTTGGTTTTAATTTTTACCCTTTACTAAAGAATTTGTTTCCTAACATTAAATAAAATTGAGCTGTCTTAATTTGCTTTAGACGTTTGTAGATTTTTAATAAAGATTCACAAATAATGTTTAATTTATTGATATTTATGTTTAATTTTATTTGACTGCTATACTTGGTACATTGCTAAGTTTATCCACTCAAATACTGTGTTCATTGTATTTAAAAGTACATTGATAACTATAAAAGTTTTCTTCACTACTCAGGAGCCCACCAGTGGCCGAGCGGTAAAGTCGCTGAACACTGGTAGTTCAGTCCGAGGTTCGAATCCCGCGAATGGTCTGGCTGCATGGGCATTTTCATGGTTTTTGCCATGTGTAACGTGTATATGAGCCAGTTTCCCATAGAAAGTCCTCCACGAAGGCATCCCTCTCCTTAGGCAGATAGCCCTAGTGTGCTTTGCCATAATTAAATAAACCAAACCAAACCAAATCACTACTCAGGTTTCTTTTAGTATAAGAGTGTGAGAAAATTAAAAAATGTAATTAGCCTAAGAACATTAAATTTAGAATATCTTGTCAAATGCTGTTATATTTTACACCAGAATTGTATTACAAATATTTCAGTAACCTGAATCTTGCATTATAAAGTGGATTAAAGTCAGTTTGGTGTTTCTTTGAAATGGTGTTGCCACATAGCGGGGAAACCTCCCAGTCTAAAATTTCAGAAACTCCAGTTTTTTTACTACAAAAATATCAATATTTGTAATGTTATATTCTAAATTGGGAGCTTATGCTTTCCTTCAGAAGTTCCTTAATCCCTGAACAAAGAGAAAAGTGTTTGAAACAACATGTGGAAACACATCATTACAAGACATAACGTTTTTGGAATGTTGTGTTTCATTGTCTTTCTAGGACTTTTAATAAACTTTGAAGCAATAAAATTGAGTTTTGTAATTTACAAATTTTATTTTCTAGATGACAGGGTTCGTAGCGGTCCTTATAAGTGCTTATAAGTCCTTATATTTGAAAATAAAATATAAAGGCCCTTATAGGTGCTTACTTTTTCTTTAAAGCCCTTATTTTTTTGTTTTTAGTGCTTATTTTTTGCTTTTAGTGCTTTTTTTTTAATGAACGCGCTATTTTCCCCCCCCCTACCAAAGCCGAAACTAAATAAACAACTTTTCTTCCTATATGGAATGTCAGGTGGTGAATCATACTCCCGGAAATAGCTTTTCCCCCTTTCTCTTTCTCTGCATTAACATAACCTTTGGTGCGCACAAAGAGTACAGACAGGTGCCCGTCGTTATATTGGTCAAAGAATTGCGAAAGCAGTAGAAAATTTCGGTACATTCGGCATTCTTTTCCTCTCCACCCAAATACTATACACGTTTAAATTTCTATCCAGATCTTAATAATTTGCATTCTCGTTCCGCTTGGTCATTCATATTTGTGTTTATTATGATCTTATGCTATTATGAGTATATGTATGAATGTTTATAATAACAGTTGCAGTAACTGCTGAAGTATAGTAAACTTCCAAAAATGGTTGTATTTTAACACAGCGTTTTAGGAATAATACTCGGAATGGCTTAAATAAAGGGAAAGTAATCGAATAGTCAAAATAATTTAGATTTTTTTGGCCAATACATTATATAGTGCGAAGATTGGGAGGTTCTCCCCTTTCTCCCCAAAATCTCAAATATTGAAACTGTTACAAGTTCGCTGCAAAACAAGCAACGGACTTTTTTTTTTTTTTTTTTTTTTTTTTTTGTCACTTTCCAATCTGGATTGAATAGGATTAAAAGTTCTGCGGTCTACCAACCCAAGCGAAGAATGATTCTATTGCGGAAATTTAACGCCGTCTGTTGAAAATTAGAATGAAAAACACCCCAGTTACTCATTTCTTTATTTTTAGTTCTTTATCTCCCAATTTCAGCAGCTGTTGATTCCGATTGCGTAATATCACGTAGGGAAGAATTATGGCACACGTATTGTGCAATAACGTTTGCGATATTTCGCAGAGATAATTAATTAATTTTGATGTTCTGTTTGAGATTTGTTTATGAACACTTAAAAGAGTTTTACTGTGCTTGCTAAGCAGAATATTTTTCAGTTCCATTGGTTTATTTTTATATGATTCACATATCAAAATGTCAAAAGCATTTATTTAGCGGAAAAATCTAAAAAGTGGCTACAGTCAACCCCCCCCCTCCGCTCCTCTTTTTCAAGTTACGCTCAACTGTCCGAATATTCGCCAGTTTCCAAGTATGCGGCTTAGTTAAGCTTTTACTGTTAAAGGATGACTGCATGAAGCAAATTTCTGTCTTCTGATTTCAGAAATGTTCCTCTTTTTTACTTAAATTACTTTGCTTGCAATATCTGTTAAGAGAAAACTGATATACAATGAAAATTTAGAAAATATTCAGAATTTAGATTTAAATTATTTAAATATTAATATGAGTGGAAAAATAAATTGTATTTATTATTAGGTTCCAAGCAAATACAATAAATATGCCTTATTATTATTTATTTTCTCTATTTTGAACTGAAATTTCATCATTAAATCTTGTAATATAGTTTAGTTCTGCATAGTTTTTTTTTTTTTTTCTCTCATTGTAAACTAGTTCTGTAAATTGAACTGTTATTTAAAATTTAAAGGGAAAAAAAAAAGTAATTATTTTCCATGGTTGAGGTAATGCTTATTCTCTCTTAATAAATACTGCATTTCTCATATTTTAAATTACAAGTCTAATTAAGGTTATGCAGTTGTGTATAATGTCATTAGACAGGTGCTTATTTTTTTTCTTAAAATGTGCTTGAAAAGTGCTTATAGGTGCTTATTTTTTTAACTTAAATGTGGCTATGAACCCTGGATGACCATATTGAATTTATGTCTGTCTTGAGTAGAGGTCTTTTATCATAACATTCAGTTTATGATTTTGATTGCAAGTGGATACTGGTTTTACTTAGCTTTCTTATATTGCACAAGCTGGTAACTGTAAACTCATCATTATCAATAATTCAGAATTATGACTAGAGAGATACAATTTTTTGGTGACAAAAGGTAGATATTTCTTTCTTTCTTTTTTTCTTTTTCTTTTTTTCTTTTTCTTTTTTTTTTTTTTCAAGTTTGTTTCTTGGAAACCATGGTGTTGGTGTGACTAATCTCACATGTCTGACAGTAGCATCAGAACTAGCCAACGAAATTCATCGTCGCAAGGAGTGCAAGATTGCGCCTGTCATTGGCAAGAGCTTTGAGCATCATCCAGGTGGCAGTATGACTTTGCTCAGTTCTACCCCCAATTTTGAAGTAAAGCACTTTGTGTGGATCGGTCAGAGGGTCTCCCATCCCTCTTCTTCTACCAGCAACCTCTCGAGAGGATTCTTGGCTCACTGCATATTTAGAGTGCCCCTGTGCCGCACAGACACCATAAATTTACAAATATCCATGCCTTCCCTAGAATTCGAACCCGGATCCTTTGGTATGAAAGTCAGCATCACTAACCAGCATCCTGATTGGGCAGCCTTTTTGAAACTATTTAAACTGAAACAGTGTAAAGTAAAGATGCATTTATCATTAATTTATGTGGGTCAGTGTGTTAATCTTTTGCAGATTGACATGATAAATATACAATTCATATAAATAGAAATAACTAATAATTTAACTTTCCTCAATAAGTAAAACAACAAGCATGGGTTAGAGGTGATTGTGAAATAAAAAAACTTACAGGATACTTAGCAGTAAGAGATGTGGAAAAAAACAAGGGTGTAGAAAAGAAAGTTGAAGTTCATTTGGTAGTATCTTCTTGCTCTGTACAGCAGCCAGTCTTTAATTCTGTCTGCTACAGCCCAAAAAGTATTGAATTTTGTTGCATGTTCTAGTTGATGTTAAAAGTTTGATGTATGACCATTATGCATCAAACTGACACTTTTTTTTTTTCATCTGTTATCCACTTATTCTGCTGCATTTTTTGGTATTTCCTAATTATCAGCATCTCCTCCAAAAAGTATTTATGAGGTAATGCTGTATATTGCAAAATAGCAAGCCATGTCTGTCACAGTGTATTATAAAATTTACATTGTATAATTAATACCTCAGTAATGCTAGCAAAATATTAATTAGCTGGTAATTGTTATTTGTTATTTATTTGGCAACCCAGGTATGCATGAATATGCAACAGATGAGTGCAAGTTATTATTGTTGTTTCTGTTGCATTGATGATTGTCACTAGTATTTGTTTTTGTTTCATTGAGTGCATTTTTTTTCCTTATAAAGAATCATAATGGGATTGTGGAGTTTGCAAGCTGCTGAAAAAGAAAGCTTTGCTTTTCAGAAAAGCATTTTGCCTAACAGTAGAAAATGTAAAAATTTGCATTCCATGACATTATACTTCGTAAACAGTCAAATTTTGTAAATCAAAATTTGTGCTGTAGTGCTGAATTTATACAGTTCTTGGATTTTTTTCCCCAGCAAAAATAGGTTGTTGTACACATGGGAAAGCAACATTAAGTGCACTGCCAAAAATTTGTGTAACTTTCTGATTTTTTTTAAAGCAAAAACACTGTAAGTGGAGAGAATGACATTGTGTGCAAAGCTGAGTTCTACAGCTACAGTTCTCGGATTTTTTTTGAAAATAAAACTGATCACTGTGTACATGGGATGGACAGCACAAAAAAGTGTAAATATTTTATTATAGATGTTTCTTACATTTTTAATTTTCCTACTTGGTTGCTGTTAAATGTAATTCTTAGTGCACCACCATTTTTGAAAATAGAATGTGTCTTTTGTGTCTTGGTAAAAAATAATGGATTTGTAAATTTTTGGGACGAGGGTTAGCAGATAATCAGAAAATACCCATTCCCCCCTCAATCATGTGTCCATTGAAATTAATCAAATGTTTGCTAAACCACGTTAAAGCCTGTATTTTATTTTTCCTTAAAGTTATAATTTTTTTGCAACCACTTTATAAAAGAAACACTGAATAGCATTTTACCTTTTTTTTTTTTTTTTTATTTTTTAAATGAAAATTCTATTTGTATTTTTCTCAGTCACCAAAAAGACTAACAATGTAGCTGTTTCATAAAATTAAAGTTCATAAAGCTTTGAAAGCAGACCATAGCTGTATTAATAAATTAATTTTATTTTCAGTAGTGTTCATTCTAGTTTCAGTTAAATGTGTAAATTTTCAAACTTTTTGTAGAATTTTGAAAACAGAATATCAGTGGAAACAAAATATAAGTACATGGTAAAGTAGTAAATGTTTATATTCATATTTAATGCAAATTGTGGTAATCTGTATAATTTCTCTGCTAGGTATATGAAATGTATTGTAGCACTGAGATAAGGCAAACAGATTTGCATTTTTTCTTAGATAAATGCAATATTGTTTATAAGTTTACAATAAGTTAATTTTTAATTTTTCTTTCATGGTCTTTGTGATATATGTAATCTACATGAATTTCTTGACAATGATTTTAATTTTGTGTGCTTAAATTTATATTATCTGCCTGGTATTTCTATGGTAATAAAAATGCAGAAACATAAAAAGTTCATGCAAAAAGTATTTGATGTAAAAAATAAAATAAGAACTTAATGAAAGAGTAGATCTCATGAAACTAATAATAAATTTGTGACCAGCAAAATTTCAATTATTTTCACACTTGAAGAATTTAGTATAGTTATTAATTAATTTGCTTTCTAACACCAAGCCCAGCAGTTGTAATTAACCAGTTTGATACATTTTCTTCTCTGTACTCTTGGACATGTCAGTGGTCAGTTTAATTAAATTTTAATTCAAGTAAAGTTTTTATTATCTTAAATCTGCTTCATATATCTATTATTATTAAATATTTGCTTAAATTAATGCAAAACTTGATATTTTATGCTGTTGAAAGTGGTTTTTTTTTTTTTTTTTTTTTTTTTTTTGTGTGTGTGTGGAAGGCTGCTGTGTGTCCAGCTGTCTAAATAATGTTACATCAAAAGTTGATAATTCGGAACCAATCCGGAATGACTATAACCAAATACAGCTTGATGCAAAAGCAAAGTTTAAAGTTTATAAAATTAAACATTTAGCAGCAGTAGCAATAGAAGCTCCCTAAGATTATATGTTGTGCAGACATTGAAGACAATAAAAGGTTTCAAACTTAACCAATTTATTAACAATATATAAAAAAAATAAAAACACAATGAATAAATTTAAACAATATCAGCAACTTAGAAAATTATAATATAACCATCATTATCAAAATTTCATATATTAAATAGTATTTTACCTGGTCTCCAAAATACTGGCATTCAATACGCGAAAAAAACGTATCCTAAACAGAAATTATGCGGTTTTAAATGAAATTAGCTACACTGTCAATAGATCCACGCTTAATGATCAAAAAGCACCTGAAAAATTAAATTAAGTCCTTGAGGGCACTTAAATCCGGCCTAACTCCGCTCACTGTAGTTGAACACGAGGAATCATAGCCCAGTAAAACATCGCCGCTAACTTATGTTAAATGCCGCCTTCATGAAGAACATGGATGCTGCCCAAGGCAGTCACTCATCTTGTAGACAGGAACCAAGGAACTTATTCCGGAAAAGTCAACTTGTAGACTGGAACCAAGGAACTTATTCGGGAAAAACCATCTTGTAGACTGGAACCAAGGAACTTATTCGGGAAAAACCATCTTGTAGACTGGAACCTCGGAACTTATCCCCGGACTGCACGCATCGCAAGACGTCTTTCAATAGGGGCTGGAAACCGCACACCCAAGAGCCAAGAAAGCAGGAACTAGAAGGAATGAGCCAGAGCGACGCGAGATACTTATACCAGAAGTAGGCATGACGTCATCTCACGGCAACCAATCAGCTATCGGCACGACTCGGCTTTCCAGATGACGTAACATCACGTTTCGTTTTTGCATCTTAATTAGGCTGAAACAGTCCGTTCTCAACACAAACAGTGGCAGTGAAAAAGAAGTAGAAGTAACTACTATATCCCTTTAAAATAAGAACTAAGCCTAATAAATATTTCAAGGAGGAGAGATGATGCAGAAAAAGGGTTACAATAAGTCATATTTTCCAACAAATGCCCCCCACATCATCATCTCCGACCTGAAATAAAACTGAACGCCAGTATCTTTACAAAATTCAAAACAAGAATAAATAAATATCACAATTTCATTCAATTCAGAAATTTTTAAGAAAAATTTTCCTTTAGGAACATCTTATCCTATTTTTCAAAATTTTACCATAACAAGAAACATGTCCAAATGTTACAACAATACAAAGACATATGTATGATCATACATTCAATACATTTACCCAGGGCCCTGGTCAATCATACAACATTCTACACTATACAGTTTTACATTTATCTAATACTCATCATAATATGACTTATAACATATTATTTTCAACTAAACAAAACTCTTAATTTAAATACACACAAAAACAAGTTTCACAAGAAAATTGTTCCACAAAATCTTATCAGGTTATGCTTAGTCAGCGGTTTTGTCATGGGATCAGCCAGATTATCTTTACTTGGAACATATTTTAAATCAAAAATTTCCCTGTTCAATAGATCACGAATGAAAAATAGTTTTACATCTATATGTTTTGTCCTTGAGTTTTCAATGGGTGATTTTGTAAAACATATAGCAGCCATGTTATCCGCAAACAATATTGGTTTTGAAACATAGTTACTTGCAATTTTAAACTGAATGCATTCATCCAAAATGTTTTTAAACCAAACTAATTCTTTTGCTGATTCAGTCATGGAGATAAATTCAGCCTCCATAGTAGACAAACTCACTCCCCTTTCTTTAAATGTACGCCAAGATACAGGTGATTCTCCCAACAAAGCTATTTGTCCACCAATAGACACCATATCATCCCTGCTTGAAGCAAAATCCGAATCTGAATATATATTGAGCTTCAGTTCCTTGCATACCAGTTTAAGTTTGTGCTGTCTGGTATTGGAAACGTATCCTAAAAGTTTAAGTAATCCTTCCCAGTGAAACTTACCAGGATTGCTTTGGAAACTGAGAAAATATATTAACAGCATAAGCTATATCCGGACGAGTACGATTGCAAAGAAACGAGAGACATCCCAAAACATTTCTATAAGGATAATTCATCATTTCAGTCGTTTCTTCTTGTGTGTACTGGACTTTGAGTATTTCACACCTTTAACTATTGGAAGGGAAGTAATTTGTATTTTAAAAGACTTGAATCGATCAACTATGTCTTCTATATATAATTGCTGATGAATCAAAACACACTATTGTTCTCATATTCAAATTCCACACCCAAAAGCTTTCTTGTTTTACCCAAAATTTTCAAATCAAAATGTGAATTCAGGACTTTTAATATCCTTTTAGCCTGAACTTCACTTTTTCCAAACACAACAATATCATCAACATAAACCAACAGAATGACAAAATCTTTAAAACGATAGACACAATTACACCACTCAAACTTGATAAACCCTAGGTTACATAGTGTTCTATCCAACTCGTAGTACCATAATCGCCCACTCTGATGCAGACCATACAAGGCTCTATCTAAACGACACACAAAAGTTTCTTTATCTCGCTCTACAAAACCCTGAGGTTGGGACATGTAAATTTCCTCTGATAAAGGAGCGTAGAGATAGGCACTTTTTACGTCGCACTTGTATATTTGCCCATCCAAGGTGTGCAACTAAAAGAGAGAAAAAGAGCCTTATTACTGAAAAGTTAACTACAGGAGAGTAGGTTTCATCATAGGTATCGTATTTAATTTGCCGATAACCCTGAGCCACTAAACGAGCTTTAAAACGAACAATGTTTCCAAATTCGTCACGTTTAATGTTGAAAATCCACCTGCAACCTAGTGGAGTCTTGTCTTTAGGAAGTGGAACAAGATGCCATACCTTATGCTTTCGCATGTTGGCCATTTCCTCTTCCATTGCCTCTATCCATTTAAGCTTTTCTGTGGATTTCATTGCCTGGTTATAAGTGTTTGGAATTGAAACCTCTAGTCAGCTATCTTGGGTATATGACGTTGAAGGAGTGCCAGTTGGGTCGATTTCACCACTATAAGTATTGCTTCCCTTGAAATCAAACAAGGTAGGATCATACTGAATATTATGCTTCAGTGCAATACCTTTCTACATCATTTGGTGATCGTAGTCTTTGATTAGACCCCCTCTCAAAATAGTACACATCCGTACGAGTGCCGTCTGGCCTTGGAACAGGTTTACGAAGCCAAGTTACTTGTCTCAATGTAGATTGAGTGTCAGTGCTAGGTATAGAAGAGGGTACACTGGTATCAATTCTTTCCTCTATTTCAGGAAAATAGCCAACTGGAGTATCAGTAGATTGGAACTCTATCCTCTCTTCAGATTCCAAATCAGGAAGGGTGCCCAGTGCAGCTCCACTGCCACTTTTCTGCATTCCAATTGACTCTTTAAAAGTAGCATTTAAGGTTTCTACTACCTTTTGCTCATTTTCCAACCAAATCTTGTACCCTTTTGTTCGTACACTGTACCCAATCAATCGGCCCTTCGTTGCCTTTGGATCAAGCTTAGAATTTCTTTTAGCCTTTGGAATTCCCACATAGGCAATCGTTCCAAATGCCTTAAGGTGACGTACTGATGGTTTCCGCTTAGTATACAATTCGAATGGGGTTCTATCTTGGCCCTTATGACAAATTCTATTAAATGAATATGCAAAATACATCACTGCATCTGACCAAAATTCAGGACTCATTCCACTATCATGTAAAATTGCACGTACATTGTTGAGAGCTGTCTGATTGAATCTCTCACAAACTCCATTTTGTTCTGGAGTATATATGTCTGTAAATTCATGCTTTACACCATTTTTATTACAATATGACCTGAATTGTTCATTATCATATTCTCGTCCATTGTCAGTTCTAAAGTATTTCAACTTAAGGTTCAAAGATCTTTCAGCACGTGCTATATGCCTTTCAAATACTTCAAACACCTGACTTTTCTCTACAATGGGGTACGTTACCACATAACGAGAATATTCGTCAATAAAGGAAACGAAATAATGTTCACTATTCCTACCTGGAATGTTAATAGGTCCCCATACATCAGAAAAAAACCCCTTTCAAGCGGCCTCTTTACTTGAATACCTTCTAAGGGTCTATAGGAGATTCGTCTTTGCTTATTGATTTGGCAATGTTCACAAAACAAATTAGGTGAGTGCTTTAACACAGGAAGACCTCGAACTGAATGTCTCTTACTAGTCCTGACAATAGCACCATAATTTATATGACCAAACCGACCATGCCATAATTCACTATTGTTATGCTGAACTGTGGATGCCTCAAATTTCACAGATTTGCCCCCCTTTTTCACTATTTTCGGGAATACATGATAGTTACTTCCTATCAACTTAGCCTTGTACAAAGTTTCATTTTCATCATCAGTAACTTTAATTTGCCCATTTTTACCATAAAATCTTGCTCCATTGATATCCACCTTAGGTCCAGATATTAAATTTCGTCTCAGTTCAGGTGAGTATAAAACATCCTTAAGCAAAATAACATCCCCAAATTTCATTTTAACAGTACCCTTCCCATGAATTGGAAAAGTTACCCCATCAATAGCTACTAGCATATTCTCATTCTTCACAGGAGAAAAAGTATCGTACAATTCACGATTTTTACAAAAATGATGAGATGCAGCAGTATCAAAAATCCAACTATCATCATTTTCCTCCAAATTGTTAACATTAGCTTGAGCTATAAAATGGGACTGAGCATGGGAATTATTTTTACCTTTACACAACTTGGGTTTATTCTTACACTTAGGAGATGTTTTATTACTACTAGATACAGCTGAGGAAACAGAAGAAGCAGGCGAGGGTGATCTGGAAAAATTACCTTTCATTCTACAGTATTTTTGAATATGACCTGGACGGCCACATTTATAACACTTGAGCCCTTTAATCTGCTTAAATTTGGGTTCACAGTGAGTACTTTGAACTTCTATAGTCTTATTGGAATTTTCCCTATCTATCTCTCTTAAATTAAGACGCGTTTCCTCTGCTAGTATTTCAAGTTCAACATTTTTAAATATGAACTTTTCATCTGGCCACCTCAAAACATTCTGAACTACTTGATCATATTTATCTGGAAGGAACCTAAGAAACTGAAAAACATATGTATACATCTCTTACAGCCTGATTAATATCAGCTAATTGTTCAGTTACCCGTTTTAATCTAGAAGAAAAGAAACTAATACTTTCATTTGGCTTAATTTTACAATTTAAAAACTCTGAAAACAAGGACATATGTCTTGATCGATAATCTGGCTGAAAGTATTTGGCAAGCGTATTCCATGCAACTACCGGGTCATCAATTTCACTTATCAAGTTTCTATATTCAGGGCTTACATTCATATAAATTAAAGATAATGCCAAACGACTTCTATTTTGATAGTCGGCAACAATTTCTTTTGTAATACCCTTAACTAAAAGGCCATGCATTTTTCTCATTTAAAACAAACTTCATATCTTTAGACCATGTAAAATAATTACATGCCTCAAGTTTAGCAATATTATGCATAAGATTAACAGTAGCCATATTTGAATTTTAACAAAAAACCCCCCCCCCCAGTCTCTTAAGTCCTAAATTAATTTTAAACTTCAAAAGTCTGCACTAAAGATAACACAGGGGCTGGCTGGGCCTATAACCAAAATGATACAAAAGCAAAGTTTAAAGTTTATAAAATTGAACATTTAGCAGCAGTAGCAATAGAAGCTCCCTGAGGTTATGTGTTGTGCAGACACTGAAGACAATAAAAGGTTTCAAACTTAACCAATTTATTAACAATATATAAAAAAAATAAAAACACAATGAATAAATTTAAACAATATCAGTAACTTAGAAAATTATAATATAACCATCATTATCAAAATTTCATATATTAAATAGTATTTTACCTGGTCTCCAAAATACTGGCATTCAATACGCGAAAAACGTATCCTAAACAGAAATTATGCGGTTTTAAATGAAATTAGCTACACTGTCAATAGATCCACGCTTAATGATCAAAAAGCACCTGAAAATTAAATTGAAGTCCTTGAGGGCACTTAAATCCGGCCTAACTCCGCTCACTGTAGTTGAACACGAGGAATCATAGCCCAGTAAAACATCGCCGCTAACTTATGTTAAATGCCGCCTTCATGAAGAACATGGATGCCGCCCACGGCAGTCACTCAACTTGTAGACAGGAACCAAGGAACTTATTCCAGAAAAGTCAACTTGTAGACTGGAACCAAGGAACTTATTCGAGAAAAACCATCTTGTAGACTGGAACCAAATAACTTATTCGGAACTTATTCGGAAATTCGGGAAAAACCATCTTGTAGACTGGAACCTCGGAACTTATCCCCGGACTGCACGCATCGCAAGACGTCTTTCAATAGGGGCTGGAAACCCGCACACCCAAGAGCCAAGAAAGCAGGAACTAGAAGGAATGAGCCAGAGCGACGCGAAGATACTTATACCAGAAAGTAGGCATGACGTCATCTCACGGCAACCAATCAGCTATCGGCACGACTCGGCTTTCCAGATGACGTAACATCACGTTTCGTTTTTGCATCTTAATTAGGCTGAAACAGTCCGTTCTCAACACAAAACAGTGGCAGTGAAAAAACGAAGTAGAAGTAACTACTATATCCCTTTAAAAATAAGAACTAAGCCTAATAAATATTTCAAGGAGGAGTGCTGATGCAGAAAAAAGGTTACAATAAGTCATATTTTCCAACACTCTGCATACTTTGGTGGCTATACAATCCTCACATGTCAATACAATAGAACAGGGATCAATACTCATATCTTCGGCAAGATGAAAACTTAGCCACGCCTTTGCTGGCAATCGAACCACGGACCTTTGGAATACTGGCCCAATGTGCAGAACCACTACACCACGAAGTCATGTTAGGAAGACGGGAGAAATACCTTATATGCGCCCCCCTTTTAAAGGGCAATTGGGGATTTAGGGGATCCAATTGCCAAATCCTGGGTGGCGAGAATCATCATCCAACACCCTTTTAGTTCGGGCGCTACTCTAGAAACATTAGGTAATTTTTTGGAAGCAGGCAAGATGAAATATTAGCAACGCTTTCGCCGGGAATTGAACCACGGACCTCTGGAACACCGGCCCAGCGTGCAGAACCACTACACCATGAAGACATGCTAGGAAGGAGGGAGAAAGACCTTATACAGCCATAGATTCATTGCACATCCTTAAAATGTCAGCTGAATTTCTATGACCTAATTTTATATGCCAGTCATGAATGCATTCCGTATAGACTTGTTTTGTACGAAGAGCATGCTGACTTTCCTTAAGAACATACAAACCTCCTCTGACGTAGCCGAAAGTTATTATATTATGATTGTTCACAATATGGCATTCTCCACCTTTAAAGTTCACATCATATCCATTATCAGTCAGCTTCTTTACGAATAATAAATGTCCAGATAGCTGGGAACAAAAAGCACATCTTTGAATCGTAATCTATATTTCCTCATTTTTGATTATTCTGATATTTTACCAAGCAATTACCTTTTCCTGACTAAGCACTATATTAAGACACAATAACATGCCGAACAAATACTTATACTTTGGTATAAGCACTGTATATTCATTAGCTAATGTTATCCACTCAGGAACATAATTACTATCATAACTGCTGAACAGAATTTTATCATTGCACATATGAATGGTGGCTCCAGAATCAATACACTAGTAACAATGTAAATTATTTGCATTAGTAAAGCAATGGTGATTAGAAACTTGTTTCGCTTCATTAATGTCACTTGAATTCATAATTGTGTTGACTTGTTGCTTTTGATTATGCTTCCATTTTGCATATTTCCTGCAGTCAGCTTTTAAATGCCCAAATTTCTTACAAAAGAAACAATAAGATACTTTATTTTTATCAGCTGGAATCTTAAACATTAAAGAAGAATATGACTTCAAAGCTTTGATCTCGCTTCCTGTACCAGGTTCTTTATTTTCGTTTTGACGAGTATACTCTTCCAACAATTTATTTTTAACTAATTCAACAGTTAAATCTGCTTCTGATTGTGTTTCTAAAGCTGTTATTAACGTAGAATAATTTTCAGGCAAGCTACTTAAAATAAATGCAATGAATAAAGGTTCTGATATTTGCTCACTTAGCGCTACGAGTTGATCCACAATAGCTTCCATTTTCATTAGATGATCGCTCATTTGTTCTTTATTGCTGTACTGCAAATTACACAGCTTTTTCAAAAGCCCAACCTTTCGGGACAGTGTTGACTTTTCATGGTACTGTTTGAGAATATTCCATGCCTCTTTCGCAAACATACACTTTCTAATATGTCCTAATTGGTTATCTTATAGCCTAATTGGTATACCTATAGTTGCTCTAGCTTTTCCGTCTTTCGAAACCCACTTTGCAGTTACTGAAGATTGAGGTTCTGTAATAATAACATACCACATATTCTCCTTAATCAGCAAGAGTCTAGTTTAAATTTCCAAGTATAGTAATCTTGGTCATTCAGCTTTTTGACGCAGATGCAGTTTAAATCCATAGCCACCATTATGTAATTGTTAAAGACGAAAAAAGAAAACGGAAGTAATCACTGTTCATAAATTTTAATCCAAAATGCCGATTCAAAATATTACTATATGCTTTTATGAAAGACTTTTCCTAATTTGCTGGGCGCATAACATGTTATATACAGTCAAAAGTCGTTAATCCGGACTCGTCGGGACTTCGGCAATTCCAGATTATCGATTTTTCCAGATTATAGATCATCAGTTTAAATCTGGTAAGATAGCATGCAGAAATTATAAAATTAAAAATATGAAACTGCAATTTATGAAATAAAGAACAATTATGATCTAAAGGGTATCAAAATTTACAAAAAAAAAAAAGGCTTAATATTTATTTGTTTACTTTATTAAACATTTCTTTCAATGTAAGTTGTTTAAATTGCTTCGTTTTATGTGATAACTTTCTCTTTAATTCTATAAACGGACATAATTTCTTGTTCAGTTACAAAGTTCCGCTGTTCAAGTCCTATAATTGCTGTGTCGGGAATACCGACTAATTTGTCAATCGAAACTTTTTCGTTTCCAATAACCTCTGTGTCACTTTCTTCACTATCGGAAGCGAATTATAATGATGAGGAATTTGATTTAAATCATATCAAAGACGGAGTACATCGAGATGAAATACTACATTTAGTAAGGAATTATAAGCCAAATAAATAAAAACATCTGTCCTGAAGATAAGGATAGTGCTGACAGATCAACTTCCAATTCAAAAAAAAGTACCAACATGAGGGGGAAAAGAAAAGATGAAAGTGAAAATATGAAATGGAAATAATGTAAATATCATATAGGCATAATGTAATATATAAATATAATAAAAAAATGTAAATATTATATAGACAATGCATAGCTGCTTTGTATACTCCAACATCAACTGTGCACGCGTTGTGGTTTTGTTCCTGGGCGAGCCCATTGTTATAGATGGAGGATGGTCATAATGTAATGGCTCTTAGGTGTATATATATATATCGTGAAAAAATGCAAAGCAAAAAGCAGTTAAAAATCTAATCCATTTGCATGCTGAAAACAGCAACAAGTGGTGATAATAATGCAAAATAAATTTTAAAAATAAATCCCATATTCTGTTCAGAATAAACATATGCAAAAACCAAATGCTAGAAGCACAGGAGCAAACTTCAAGAAAGAGGAGGCAAACATATCAAAACAAAAAATGAAATAAGAAATTAACATGTGTCACTACATTTTCATAAGTGGTTGGTGCAATGAAAGAAGCAAATAACTTTATCTGTTTCTGAACCAATAAAAACTCAGTTTAAAACTTAAAATTTTTCTGAGATTATTTTAGGTTTTAAAAACTTTAATTTGAATCTTTATTGGTTCAGAAACAGGCAGATTTATTTACTTTTTTCACTGCACCAACCCCTAGTAATGATGCAGTGAAAGATGTAAATTTCTTATCTCATCATTGGTTTTGGCATGTTTTGCCACCTTTTTCTTGCAGTTTGCTTCTCCTATTTGGTTTTCGCATATGTTTATTATGAATAGAACATGGGATGAATATGAAATACATTATTTTTTAATTTATTTTGCACACACATATAATAAATTACTGAAAATAAATCGCACTCTGAGCTTAATTTTATGGACCTTAAAGCTTAAAAAAAATTTTCTGCTCTTCTTTTAAAAATTTTTAAACAAAACAAAGAAAAAAAAGGGGGGGCAAATGGAATGATATTTATTTCACTCTTTAAGAATATACCCTTCAGATTTTATAACATAATACAAAATTTAGCAACCTAAATATATTACCTGGTAATTTCTCAAGATGAGATGAGTTCAAAATATCCACATCTTCTTTATGTGTACTTAGTTTTGTGGCCAGTATACCATCTTTATCCACTCTACGCTTAGATGTAGACTTTAACTTTTCAATAAGTTCTTTACTACATCTGTATAAGTTTCAGTATATGTAAAAAACTGTAACAATCTCAAAAATTATTCACAATCATATACTGTATTCTTCTAAAATTAAAGTTTTAATGTTACACCATATAAAATACCCACATTTCTTTATAACAAAAGCAAAATCATCAACTGATTTGTAAACAAATTCTTGCAATATTCATAAACTAAGGATGTTCAATATAAAGTTAGAATTTATCTTTCTTTCTTCTTTTTCTTTTCTTTGTTTTGTTATCTTATCCAGCATTCTCACATCCACAGTACAGACTGTACTAATCTGATTGGTAATTTACCAAATATTTAAGAATTAAACTATATTTTTAATGATTTTGCAGGTATTTTAAAACTTTTTTGATATTCTATTAAAATACCTTTCCATGTTGATTCAGAATAATTCTTCTCACTGAAGTCCTTTTGGGTGTTTATTGGGAGTAATCTAAACAATAAAGTTTGCATAATTTACTTTAGAAAATTACAGGAGATTTATTTTTACCTTCCTTTCCTAACATCCTGCAGAATATCAATGAAATCTTTATCATCTTGTCTTTTAACCTGATGTAGCTCAATATTCACATCAATAGAACTTCTCCAAGCAGAACTCTGAGAAAGAAATGGGAAATTGTTATAAACGTATTTCATCCGAATGTTAAAGCTTAAGTTTTCCACTAATGAGTTTGTGAGTCTATAATATAATACTCACACATACACAATATATATACACACAGTGAAATATGTTTAACATGAAAATGCTCAAGACGAAATATCGGTTAATATGAAATAATAAATGGTCTCGACAAACTACTACATATTTTCATGCATTTTTTTTTCTTTTAACACAAAATGAAAATCCCTTAACATAAAAAGATTTCCCTTCTGGGAATGAATAAAATATGGAAAACACCAGCTATACAGGCGAAATTTAACTCTTTCACAACCAATCCGCCCCACACGGCCCGACATTGAGACAACCAGAACTGCCTGAAAATGGCTAAGATTGCAATCTTGTTTTCTTTCCTTCCCCTAAGGTATGCAGTAGCAGGCACAGTTTCCTCAAATTCATTGTATCAGTTTACTGCAGACACCTTGTCCTAAGAGGTTTCTTATCTTTTGGTTGCTTGTGACAATTCGTTGTTGATTCTTTTTAGGTACAGTGTGCTTTTAAACTTTAAACAGCAATAAAAGTGCAGTTTAAAACTTTAAGGATTATATTTATTTTTAATCAATTTATTCCTTCCTATAAAAATAACAGAAGTAAAAATCTCAGTCGTGATCATAACAAAGCCAGAAAAGCTTGTTGGTCTGACCTTCAGAATAGGTTTATAAAGAATGGGGTCAAAGGCTAATGGAATCTTTGTTAGAAAGTACATAGGATGTCATTCGAAATCTTCACACCTATTTTCCGCTTTAATGGAAGGGGAGGGGAGGAATTTTCTGTGGAGATTGAAAAGTATTTTGGCGATTCGGTATTTTCAGGATACAGGTTAGCGAAGGGTCTAGATTTCAAATAGCTAAGACGGCTGTGAAATGAAAGAGAGGTGGTTTCACATGTTTTGCAGAAAGGAGGCTAACTTGGCTTTGCAATACCCTCGGAATAGCCTGTGACATAAGCCAGTTTTTTTTATTTAAGCTACTTTAACCCTCCACCCCCACAAACACCACACAAAAACATCTCTCATCAGTTGGCTTTGGAATTGTGATGAGTACTTCGAAGTGTGTGTAAAAATCAGCGAGTTTGGTTCGCACCAAAAGAAATGGAGAAGGAGGATACTGAAACTGAGTCGACATTTAATGAAATGTTTAAGATAGTTTCTGTATTATTGGACTGTCCTACTGTATCATTGGAAGAATTCGCCACAGTAAATGATGATAATGTGTGTACAGCCCCGATTATGGCAGATAAAAACATTTTGGACTTTGTTTAAAGCTCAAAAGATATCATTGATGCAGATTCCGATACGAAAATGAAATGAATACTGCAGCTCCTGTTCCCACGTCCTCCGAAATGAGGAACATCATGAAAAGTATGCGAAGTTATTTAAAAGCACATTCTAGTGGTGAAATGAATAACAAAATGGACGACATCGAACAATTTGATGCTAAAAAAAAACAGTGCAAAGAAAAATATCAGATTATTTTCCAAAAACTCGATAAATGTTTTGTTTTTCAGAAAACTTTAAAATTTTGTATTAAATTAAGTTCTTGTGGATATTTTCGTTTCATTGATTTCTTTTAAATACATATATACACAGCTATGTAAATAAAATGTACTCTAATAAACTTAATTTTGTTTAATATATGTTTTTTTTTTTTTTTTTTTTTTCCTTTTACAATATTCTTTAACACGAAAATATTTCAGTCCCCTCAGTTTCGTGTTAAACAATTTTCGCTGTATATATATATATGTATATATACAGTGTCTACAAAAGTCCTAAACCATCCTTTATTTTTGTAACTGTTGGTCACAGACATATACAGGGTGGTCATTAAAAAATTCCCCAATATTTGAACCTCTTGCGGCCTATCTGCTCAACCAATCGAAATGAATATTTGAAGGTATGTGTTTGAGATTGTGATGATTTAAAGCAATACTCTCATACTGATGGTTACAGAGAAAAAATTTTGAAACTTCGCCGTTCAAATCGATCTGGGAATTTAAAAACCATAAATGGTGTTGGAATTATACACTTACGATGAAAACTGCACTTGTAAAGCATTTGTAAAAAGAAGAGCATTGTAAAGGACCAATGACAATACAAGTTTTCAACATGTACAACGTTTCAAGGTAAAGTCATTTCCCATAACTGCAGTTTCGTGGCTACCGCAATCCTCCGACCTCACTGTGATGTATTTCTAGTTCTGTGGTGCTCAAATCTAACGCATACACATCAAATCCATGAGATTTGTCAGAACTGAAAGATGCCATAGAACGTGAAGTTATACACATTCTTCCTGTGATGTTAAATTCGTTATTATTGTCAACAATCTCCTGCATGCAAAGCATTATTGCCTAGTGTTTCTGAAGGTGGGCATGCTGAAAATTTGTAATTCCAATAGAAGTTTTTATCCTTGCCTCTCTTGTATTGTTATTTGTTCTTTACAATACTCTTCTTTGCAAAGGATTTACACCTGCAATTTTTGTTAATGCGTATCATATCAATGCCATTTATGGTTTTTTAGTGAGCTGATCAACTAGCACAGGAAAAAAGTGAGTGTTACCACTCGAAAATTTCAAATTCTTTTCCCTGTAACCATAACTTTGAGACTTGTATTACTTTAAATCACCCTAATCTCAAGCACATACCTTCAAATAATTATAGCTGAAATTTCATTTTAAATGCTTCAGCAGATAGGCTGTTAGCTTTTTTTATGACCACCCTGTGCTATCATTACAAAAATGTTTTAAATGATGCAAAGATTTGTGTTTTGGCATTTTTAAATATATTTTGTGAAGGTTATGAAAGTGAATAAGCAAACTACAAACAGAATGTTGGATATAAGTGATACACAGCAAAAGAAGATAGTATGATTGCTCAAATGATTTTAGATGATAAATGATTAACCATATTTTGAAATCCTAACTTCTGATGAAAATGCACATAGCCAAGAATAATAATTCATATTTGTGTATTTTTATATTTCTTACCTTATACACATTATTACAGAAAAATTTCAGTCTGGAGGGGGGCTGTTTAATTACAGCATGATGTCAACATGACGAACAAAGTCTATGTGCCGAAACCAAGGGTTATAAATTTATTTGTTCCTTGATATTTTGGCATGATTTGCTTAACAGAATTAATCCTTCAAAAAACTGCAAGAAAAGGGTTTGAGTGTTACACTAGACTTAAAGGCAATAATTAACTTGAAAATATTCATTGAAGAATATAGAAGTGACATCAATTACAAAAGCATTCTTGAGAAAGCCAAAGAACTTAGTGAAGAAGCGGATGGTGAGCCACAGTTTAAAACTGTTGAAGAAGTCCAACGAAGGAAAAAGAAATGTCACTTCGAACATGCTGACGAATCCCCTCAGTCTCCAGAAGAGAAGTTTAGGATAAATGTCTTTTTTAGAATTTTGGATATTGCTTGGATATCATTAAATGAAAGATTTCTTGCAATGAAAAACCACTGATAATTTTAGTTTCCTGGGAAATTTATCAGAAATCAATAATGCGAATTTGAAAATAAAATGCAGTAAATTAGAAAAATTGTTACAGTGGGATGACAATAAAGATATTAATGCATATAAGACCTTTATGAGGAAACGAGTAGCTTCGAATGACATTTTTACAGTCAATACTCTGAACTCAATGGTGTCAAAGAATTTACGCTTCCCGAACTTGAAGATCATATTGAGAATACTACTTAGCATTTCTGTTAGTGTTTCTAGTAGCAAAAGGCCATTCTTCAAATTAAAATTGATGAAAACATATTTACGGTCAAGTATATCAAAGGAAAGACTCATAAATCTAGCTCTAATTGCCACTGTAAATAAAATCTGTTAAGAGATAAATGTAAAAGAAATTATAGAAAAATTTGTAAATATGAAATGCAGAAAAATGAATTATTTTCGAAAAACTATTAAAAAAATCAACAAATGCTTTCTTCAAAACTTTCTTTTCCTATAAAAAAATTTTGAAAAGGGGGGCATGACGTCAACTATTTTGCAAGCGGCACCGGCGCTGTGTATGTATATATAGTTCACATAACTGAGTAATTAAAATACTGTTATTTAACAATGTTTCAAAAGGCTTAAATATTTACTTGGATAATACAGAAATGATTGACACAACGGCTCTCACAATGAAAGTATTACACAAAGTGAAGGGAAAACAAGTGAAATAGACACAAGAGAGCGTGAGCTACTCTGAATGCATGGATGGAGCTGGCCGCAAGCGAACGGTATAAGTCAGCGTCCGTCCCTTTCGCCGTCATCATTGACAGCGTGGACAGCAATGATGGAAGGTGATTATCATGATCAGCATTGGACAGCATGGTTTCTATGGAAGGAAGGGATACAGGGTAGTGAGATCCATCGTCGCATGGTGTCGGTGTACAGGAACAAAACACCCTCAAAGTGCACCATATCCCATTGTTTGGCCGAGTTCAGCAGTGGTGTAGAGAAATGCAGCCAAAGGTGTCAGCGCGAGACAAACATCGACATCACATACAGCAGCAAATGCTGCAGCCATGTCAGATTTGATCATGGCGAACAGGCACATAACATTCAACAAGATGCAGCAGAAGACAGGGCTTGTGCAAGGAACATTGCAGGCAATTGTGCATGGTGATTTGGAGATAACAAATGTGTGTGCAAATGCAAAGTGGGTGGAACTTGAACCAAGACCTCAGACTACGCCTTGCTTGACAACATGAAAGATGCAGTCAGGAGCCAACATGTTGAATCTTCTGCCGAATTGCATGCAATTATCCATAGGTGGTGCACCAATACCCCACAGTTTGGTTTACCAAAGCCCTTCAGGACCTCCCAGCCAGATGGTAGAAGTGTATTGACATGGGTGGAGATTATTTCTAACTGATGTACTATCAGTTTTTTGTTAATAAATTATATTTCACTCTGTGGCAGCATTTGTGTCATTCATTTCTGTACAACCTAAATATATCAGTATGACATACATCACTATAAGATCTTATTATATGCACAGTCACCAGTTTTGTAGTGCTCATAGAATACATATTGGAAAAATATAGCAAGCTTTTATTGTACTTTGCTTATTCCTTAAAATTAAAAATTTTTCTTATCATTATATGCCATATATCATATCAAAAGTTATCATATTACCTTTGTAATTAAACTAGCAACTTTATTATTACTACCTTACCTGGAAGCAAAATACTCTGTTCTGCCCCTTCCTGCATACTGGTGGCAACTGCAAAAAGTCTCCACTAAGTATAAGTTGAATTCCACCAAATGGCTTATCATTATTCCTTACTGAACGGGCAATTTTATCAATTTTCTGAAAGAATTCACCATCAACCATTGAAATTTCATCAACAATCAAATGCTCACACTGCTTCCAAGAGCCTGACTTTCCTTTCTTTAAAGCTTGTTGTATACATTGTTCAACAGGAGCTGAACCTGAGCCAATTCCTAAAATAGAAAACCTATTCTTGGAAACAATTCATGTGCACAGAAAAAATACAAAACTATAAAATATGCTTAAACTAAAATATTCATGGAGCATTTTCCATATTCCTGGTCAAAATAATCTGCTGTACATAATATAAGAGTCATTCAACACTCAAATTGTCAAGCTCTAAAGATTAATAATTTAATAAAAAAAAAACATTTTTTTTTCGGAGGGAGGTATTTATTTTGCATTTACATATATTTAAAAATTAAAATATACCATTTTAAATGCTTTTTTTAAATACTTTAAATGACTCATTTTAATTTTGTTCTAATATGATACATTTTTCAAATTCATAATTTTCATCATCAGAATCTAATGACTATCATAGTAATGGTCTATATTCATTACAGTTTTTCCTCATCATGCTAGCCGGCTGGATGAGTAAACTGCATTTGAAATATCAAATTTAAAAAAAAAAAAGGTGATGTGGATACCACATGACTTTCTTAAACAGCCTATTAAATTATACCCAATTTTTGCTGCATGTCATTTAAGCTTATTTCCTCAAATTATTCCAACTTAACAAAACTGATTCCTCAAAGCAAGTTAAAAATGAAATCAGAAATGGCAAATTTTGAAATTAAATATCCCAGTCAATTTTTGTCATACAGGAGTCAAATTTCTTGTATTTCTATTTTTCATAAAGGGTATAAAACTTTCCCAAACATAAGTATAAGAACATGAGACCGCATTAAAAGTTAGACTTCATTATTTGTCCAAAATTAATTTTTTGAAAAGATTAACATCACCAAAACATGAATATTTTCGTCATTTAAAACACACTGCTGCATTTCATTTAAACTTGTTTACTTGAAGTATTCCAACTTAATTAACCAGTCCCTCAAGGCAAGTTGAAAATGACATTAAAAATTGCAGCAAACTTAGAAATTAAATATTCTGGTCAATTTCATCATTTAACACTTCTGTAATTGGAAGTATATGACTATGGCCAACGGTTACGAAAATAAAGGCAGGGTTCGGACTTTTAAGCCAGATAAGGGGCTAGATGCTTGGTATTGCCAATTGCAATAAAAAAAGCGAGGTACATAACTAGATGTTATAGCAATTCCATATAAGGTTTCTATGATTAATGAGAAGTCTTTGGTGAGTTGTGTAAGATATATATATATATATGCATACAGATGTCACAAAACGGTCCTCTGAATTCATTTTTGAAAAAATAGTCCTTTATTCTGTCCATACATATAGACATCATACACAAAAATCATCTGAACGAGCTCAGAAATAACCAAAACAGATATTTCTGTTGAAATACAATATCAGAAATTTTCCGTGATTACAATACTTCCTTTTCACTCCATACAAGGACGTAAAATGGGCAAAATACAGCAGTACTTCCATATTCACGGCTAATGCATTTCAAAACACACTGTGGATACATGAAAGCATAGGTAATAATTAATGCTCCATAAAAACATATTTATGTAACATACATAAAGTTGATCAAACTTAATTAATAGATTTAATACATTAAGATGTCATCAACAATAAAAAGTATTAATAACATATACTTTAAACTATCTTACCTACACAGTATACAGTACAGCCCTGGACCTTAGATTTTTTTTTTTTTTTTTGAAAAGAAAACATAGAAAATTAGCCGTGCCCTGTAACCAAAACCTAAATCTTTATCTTGCAAAACAAAGTTTTAATTCATAGCTAAATACCAAGTCACTCAACCCTTCATCTGAACATTTAAATCATTTATCAACAGCACAGCAACTTATTTATATTATGCCCTTGAACCAATGCAGCAGAAAGTCGCATTCAGCAACAGTGGCAAATGCTCCAATAAGCAACAATTAAGACCAAACCTCTATTTTTTAATGATCAAGACTTTCATCCTTTAGGCAGATGGCATTTGTGTACTTTGCCATATACAAATAACCTAACCTTTAACTTACTTTTTAAGTTATGCCATATACCACCAAATTTGCATAACTTTATCATCTGAATGAAAATTGTAACATGAGCCAAAAACGATAGGGTAGAGTTTAATTCAAAATATAATTGTTATTAAAATGTGAGAATAACTGTCATAACTTCATATGCTATACTGTTAAATAAAGTAACATTTATTGTTTACTGTGTAAATTTCATATTATTTTATTTAGAATTTAACCTAAGCTTTAAAAGACAAATCAGGAATAAAAACTTGCAATTCCTTTGCTATGGGGTATAATGAACATAAAACAGAGATTTGCATGGAAAGACAGAAAGAAAAATTATTCTTTCTGTAACAAAGCAATCAGCTTTATAGTGAAAATTATGTATACACAATAAGCAATAAAATTTTCCTTCGGGAAAAGGTACTGTGGTATTCACAGATTTATCTATTCTTCTTGCTACTGGAATAATTGCTGAAATTGATCATGATGATTATAGGTATATAATGATAGTTCAGTACCTATAATACGGTTAGGTAATATTTTGGGCATTGTGTAGAGGGTGTGTTAGAGGAACTGGGATAAGGATTACCTGTAGGAGGTAGAGAAGGCTAAGTAAATGAAAAAGATGATGGCAGGATGATATCAGATATGAATGGTAATGACAGCTGAAAATCTTTGATGGTAAACTCTTGTTTTTTTTTTTTTTTTTTTTTTTTTTTTTTTTTTTTTTTTTTTTTTTTTATGGAAAAATTCCAATGGATTACAATCCATTGTTTTTTCATTATAATTTTTGTCATTTGAAATATTCCTCCAAGTTTTTTAGTGCTCCTATTGCTGGCTGTACTTCAGTTTTGTTTTCTCTATTGTCATTTTCCTCTAGTGATGAATTTATTATGTCCTGCAGCACTTCATTCGACAACTCTTTCTGATGATATGCTTCAATATGAATTCATTTTATCATATTGACAAATTCCACATTACCAACTCTCTTGCTGTTTCAATGGTTATGTTCACTTCTTCATCAATGATAAGTATGCATTTGAAATCATAATCATATTTCACAAATTCTTCCAGAATGCATCGACTGCTTCTGGCTTTAATTTGTCTACTGCTGTCTTGGTTAAGGTTATTGCATCAGCAATAATGAAAAGTTTCCATCCATCCATTATCCGAAGATTATGATCACAATCAATAGTTATGTATATCATGTCAAAAATCTGATAATTTAGAATGTCTTGATGCATTCAATAACACCCTAGTCAAATGGCTGAAGCAAAGAGGTTGTATTTAGCAAATATACTACTTGAATATTCCCATCCTCCATACTGACACACTAAGAATATTTAGATGTACTGTTTAGTAAAAGTAAAACTTTTAAAAGTAGTCCTTTCTTTTTCAAATATTTTTTTCACTCAGGGATAATTCATTACAGCATCTTTTCAGTGAACAACATTGTGATAGACCATGCACTGCAATTATGCTGCCAGAGACAGGAATTTTTTTTAACACTGATTCTTGAGAACATAAAGATTCTTCATATAATACGATGTTATGCTTGATCACATATGCAGTGGTATTAAAATATAGACCAGCATCAGTGGCGTAGCGAGAGGGGGGAAAGGGGGTGTATGATGCCCCAGGTGCAGCTTGCAGAGGGGCGCCAAATCAAAACACGATTATTGCCAAACAAAATTCAAACAGGATTTTCCGGAAAATTTCAGTTTTTATTTTGATCGATTTCTGGAAAAATATATTTTAAATTAATAATTATTGTAATACAATTAATTACTTCTTAATTAATTTGTCTGATAAAATGTGTAATAAAATGTTTGCAGTACATCAACCAAATATCACCGCCTACAAAACGTTCTTTCTGACCACTGTGACGTTCAGACATATGCACCCCTTGGACTGCCAGCTGCTGCCTACAATAAAATATTCTTTTGTAGCGGACCTACAAAAGAAAAGTGACGTTGTAAAACCATCTTTTGACTTAATCGCGTTAGACGATTACAGTAATTCTTTGGGAAATGTGTACAAGTTAAGAATTTCCTTTTCGGTTCGGCATGAACAAGAAATTGTAGATAAGCTAATGTTTCATACCAACCAGACTCGGAAGGTTTGCAAATGTCTAAAACTTTCGTAGGAGAATAGCCCAAGACACCGAGTAGAGTTGATTATATCTACCAAGGAAAGTGGAAGAATCCCCAGTTCATCATTTATCCATACTAGTACCTGATACTGAAGGGTCAAAGGGGATTAAATGTAGCTACTTCATGAATGATGTAAATTTGACTAAAATAAGTAGTTTTTTCATGTTAATGGCAAATTAAATGTACATGTTTATTTTGAGGTCAAATGCAGCCGTTCTCATCCAGGTGTTGGGTTACCATTGAGAGATTATCAGAAACGGAAAATTAAAAATATGCAAGGTTTCCCTTTTCAGCCTGGCTAGATATATAATTAATATTAAACTTAGGAATGTATGTTGTACATTCCATTTTTCAGAAAATTATACGTTCTTTATTTGTATGTGTATAATTAAATTTAGTTCTCAGTATTAAGTTGATTATATGTTTTTTACTGGCCTCAATATAGTTCTTGTTATGTTTATCCTTGGTACTTAGCCCATCGTTGTGAAAAAAAAAAGTATTAGTGCTAATAATTATTAGTTAGTTTTATTATTAAGACTTGCTGTGGTAAGCTACGAGGAATTGGAGTTCTGAAAACCCTCCACCTCCGGAGAAGGGAGGAGTTGTGACGTTTAGACATATGCACACCTCGGACTTCCAGGTGCTTAATGAGAGATATCTAGTTCTCAGCGACAAAATGGACAGCAGTCCTTTGGAAAAAAGGTGCAGGGGAAACCCCCCTAGTGTGGTTTCCGGACATAAGGGCCTATGTAAATTTAGTTAATAAATGCAGTAAGCAGATCTTAAAAAGCACAGATGGTTAAATGCTAATAAAAATCTTTTAAAATGAAAAATAAAATTAAGAAGTTTTTAGAGACCCTAGAAATAACTGAATATAAAATTCACATGTTAACCAATAACCATTATTATCAACATATTGAGTTAATGTATTAAAGTAAAAAATATTTTGTGGACAAACAAGAATAATGACTCATATATTAAACATACAGCATTATATATCAATAACTAGTATAATATAAAATCCAAAATTAAAACAGCAAAAATTACCAGCAAATGCATGCAATGTAATTCCTCCTATTTGACAAGCAGCCACACCAGTACTAGCTGTAGCGAAAGTACTTTCAGGGGGCAAAGCACCTAAAATTCTTTTTAAAAGAAAAGATTTGCCAGTGCCAGCACTACCAGTGAAAAAAATATTTCTTCCACTCATAACAGCACTCATCACACTTCTTTGTTCAGCTGTCAATAATCGGGGAAGCATAGGTCTGGGAACACTCATAATTTTCTGCAGACAGAAAAGTAGATAATTTTTATTATAAGCTACATTATAATCATTCATACATATTCACAGTGGAAAAAAAAAAAAAAAAAAAAAAAAAAAAAAAAAAAAAAAAAAACTTGAAAACACATAAGTCATAAAAATTCAGAAAAATGCAGAAAAGCTACACCAAACAATATACAGTTCATAATGCTAATTGGCTATGGCTTAGATCCTATCTTGCAGGTGTGAATGGAACCTCCGCATTTCATGCCTTATGACTGTGCCACTATGACATTTATACCACAGTCTGAATGAAGCCTAAGATTACATCTAATCATGTAAATAAGAGGGTACATTCTGGTTATATGCACCCCCACTGAAAAGTAGCAAACTCAATGGTGACTTTGGAAAGTAATGTTTGTTTGGGTATCTTTACATCTACTGCCACCTATTTCTTTAAATTCTTCTTTTTCTATGCAAAATATTCACACTTCTCAGTTTTTTGTGCTGTTGATCTTCCCATCTACACAGCAATATATTTTTGCTTAAAATCATCGTTTTCGAAAAAAAATTGTTTTTGCCAATTTTGGAAAAAAGTCTATTTTTGCTTAAAACCTTAGACAATTGCACAAATCCAGCCTTATATACAACCTTAGCACCAAAATCCTAAAATGAGAAGGAAATAGTCACATAATGACTTTAGGCAAGCCACTTTACGTATTCAGAAAGCTAATTCCGAGATTTTACCAAAGATTAGGAAACTATAGCATTTGGTCCACCACTGTACCGAAATATTGAAACTCCAATAGCAGGGATTGTAATCTGCTGTCACATTGGCAGAAATGTCCAAAGCAGAAAGCTATGCGAGGTGATGCTACGTGCATACCTCAGTTGCCATGTAATACTTTTTGGCACATCATGGGATGTCACATAAGAAATTGTTGGCAAGCATAAAGTCAATACTTTTTTTTTTTTTTGTTGTTTTTCTTTGGTGGATATGAGGGTGCAGATAATTAGAAAGCATTGATAAAAGTGCCAACTCTTTCTCCAATAAATTGTTTTTAACTCTAGAGAAATACAAATTCATAAAAGTAAAATTAAAAGGTCAGATGATTTAGTTTTGATTTCTCCTTTATTCTTTTTAATTTCATTATGCTGCAAATAAAAAAACGTTTAATTTCTATAAAAGTTAATACAGTACAAAGTCCGAAATCCGGACTCATCGGGACTTTGGCGGTTCAATTGTAAAACTAAAAATATGAAATCGTGATTTATGAAATAATGAAGTATTTATGATCTAAAAAATATTTTAAAAATATTTCTCATTTTCAGTAACTTCTCTGTCACTTTCTTCACTATCGCTAGTGGTATTTTCTGGATCTAGAAGCATACTACAGATTTCAACATTCATTAATTGATTGATGATTGAGAAGCATTGTCATCGCAATGAAAAACTTCTTTTATATCATCTTCATTTATTAGCCCTTCTTCATATTTTTTTACAAAATCTGTTAATTGGAAAATTTTACCTTTGTTTTGAGATATCCAAAAATTTTACCTTGCTTCTATCGCGCACTTAGACAATTAAGTCTGAATTGTATTAGTCTGAATTTTTTAGTTATTTTTATATTTATGTCTGTTTCTTGCACATTCTTAAGTTTCTGCTTATCAGATTTCTAAATAAATAAATTTCCACATATAATTAAACCTTATTGAGGGCCAGCACTAGATATCTTACTGCCTGATGCAGTCGCTGTGGGTCCTAAATTCTGCGACTTGGTGCGGCCATACGAGTCCTGGCACTGGTTCTGGGTTTATGTGAATAACAAATCAGTTATTCTTAATAAATAGCCCTAAATGTAATCTTTGGGTATCATCTATGAGTATCATCAACAAAATCTATTTGTAGCATATGGAAAGAAATTTTTGACAAATTTTTCCTCATCAATATGTTTTAGTGCATTTAACTTAAATCTGCAATCATTGCCAAGTGTAATGTCAACATAAAAGGTTAAAAATAAATACTTCTTTATTATTCAATTACTGACATAAAAATTTGTTTAGGCATCGCTACATCAGTCATTACTCAAGTTGTCATGTTTTGATAAGCATGCGGTGATGAAAGGGAAGTATAATAAATAATGCATGATAATAAGTACAATTAAATTCAGTTAGAAGAAAAACATGATGTTAAGCATATGCAAGTAAAAATTAGCTGCTTAAATACCATATTTAATACAATTAAATTTGGGTTGTTAGAAAAGTATGATGTTATGCATATGTAAGTAAAGATTAGCATAAAATGTAAATTAAATATTAGTATTATTATTGAAATGAATTTCTAATTGGTTATATTATTATAAAAAAGTTTAAATTGCAAACTTATATCATAGATTGTACTGCATAGTTGCAGATTTGAAACCTGCATTTCACATCAGAATGCATCCTAGATTCTGTAACCTTGATTTTGCAAAAAATTACCAATACAGTCAAAAGTCATTAATTTGGACACCCATAATCCAGACCTCAAAGCTACAAACTTTCTGCGCATGCGTCGGGTTGACCTTTACAGCCTTTACGGCTGCGAATATGCGTGTGCGCATGCACGTTTAATGTTAACGGATAGTATAAGCTAAGCTAAAATTATCTAATTCAGTTAATGTTGCAGATTGCGTTGTTCCTTAATCTTCGAATTCGATCCTGCTTATTATTTTTTTCAGACTGTTAGAGCAATTTTATAAAAGTAATCTTGAACTTTCGATTATGTCAAATAGAATTTCCGATATATATTTATGGATATGTAAAGGATCTACAAAGCGAAAGTATGTTTCGAAGTCCTTTAAACAAAAAATGGAATTGCTGCAAAAAATGGATAAAGGCATATCCTTTGTTTATCTAACCATTCCGAAATCTGTTTATCAATTTTATGCTGCTCTGCGGCAGGGGAGGGGGGGAACGCTGCAGCGCACAATGAATTGGATGTTGATCTGTCAGCACTATCCTTATCTTCAGGGCAGATGTTTTTATTTTATTTGGCTTATAATTCCTTACTAAATGTGGTATTTCATCTCGATGCACTCCGTCTTTGATATGATTTAAATCAAATTCCTCGCCAAATTGTAATTTGCTTCCGATAGCGAAGAAAGTGACACAGAGTTTATTGAAAACAAAAAAATTTCGATTGACAAATTAGTCGGTATTCTCGACACAGCAATTATAGGACTTGAACAGTGGAACTTTGTAACTGAAGAAGAAATTATGTCTGTTTATAGAATTAAAGAGAAAGTATTATCACATAAAAAATGAAGCAACTTAAACAACTTACATTGAAAGAAATGTTTAATAAAGTAAACAAATAAATATTAAGCTTTTTTTTTTTTTTTTTTTTTTTTTTTTTTTTTGTAAATGTTGATACTCTTTAGATCATAATTGTTCTTTATTTCATAAATTACGGTTTCATATTTTTAATTTTATAATTTCTGCATGCTATCTTACCAGATTTAAACTGATGATCTATAATCCGGAATCGGCTAAGTCCCGACGAGCCCGGATTAACGACTTTTGACTGTACTTACTTAATTTCGTGAGCCCCTTAGTAAAATTGCCGAAGTTTCAGAATACGCTAAACTCTGGTAAACCCACACACAGCAGTTTTTTAGGCAATTATACACATGACAATTCTTCAGTTTTAACAAACATTGCTGCATTTTTCGCAGGTGGTTTTTTTTTTTTTTTTTTTTTTTTTTGGTACAACTCTAATATATGCCCTAATTTCACCAAATATGGCGATATGTGTTCTGTGCTGGTTTTTGGCGCAATTGCGTGTTCTATGGCAACCCTGTTGACGTCGAAAAGTCTTTCGCTGGAGCTCGTTGGTTTGCCTCTGTGTCTGAGAAGATGGGAGGGAAAGATAAAATGGTAGTACTTGAATTGAAGTTCGGCAAAAGGAAATATGATTGTGGCTATCCTGTTGAGGGGTAGTGGGTATTTGGAAGTGTAGAAAGAGGGTCTGGGAGATTATTTTTAATGGCAGTGCATGATAGAAGTAGGGATTTGTGATTTTATTTATTGTGAACCATAGTATAAATTTTCTGGATAGTGTGTCCTGGCTGTCATGTAAATACGATAGTGATTACATGGCGGCATGTTAAAGGCGGTATGAAATTTATATTTCTGCTATTCGAAAACACATTAATTCATGGTAAGTGCATTTTTTTTATCCTTTTTTTTATTTTGTAGAATGTTATGCTCATTGTTTTTTTACTATGAAATTTATGTTGTTATTGTAGTTTTTTTTTCGAATTATTTGTAATTTATTTTAGTTTATTTTGTTGATTTGTGCGCAATGTCTAGACTTGTGCAATTCGTAGATGTTTTTTTAAAGTTTTAACAGAAGGTTGTGTACATGGTATTCTTTGAAATTTATTCTGTGTTATGTTAATTTATTAAAGCGGAGGTGTGCGTAGATTCGTAGATTCCTTCCTGTTGGCTATATTGTGCAATTCGTAGAATTTTTTTTTAAGTTAAAACATATCGCTTGTGTACATGGTATTCTTTGAAATTTATTGTTGTTATGTTAATTTATTAAAGCAAGGTGTGCGTAGTTTGTAGATTCGTTCGTTGCCTACATTGTGCAATTCGTAGATGTTTTTTTAAGTTAAAACATGTCGCTGTGTACATGGATTCTTGTCAAATATTTTTGGTTAGAAACTTTACGTTTTTGTTATCTAAATTTTTTGTTTTTTGTGGTTGATCTTTAGATTATGGTAACTTGGCGATAATTTGGCGACCAACTCTCCTACAGCAACCCTCTATTTTTTTTTTCCCGCTGCCATTTTGTCTTCACGAAGTAAAGACATGTTTCTTTTCTTTTTATCTACTGAACACTTCTTCCAACAATCTACTAGCCGAATTACACTTATGCTAGAAATTTTATCTAACAAAACTGCTTAATCATGACAAATATTCACTGCAAAATTGGGAAAAAGTGCATCATACTCCTTATGCGTTTTTCAAAATAACACATACACGTAAACCATGTACACGTCGACTTATTTTTCTTAAAAAAACATCCCAGAATTACACAAAAATGGCATTGCGCACACTCTTCACTATATCCATGTACACTCTTTTTTCTCATAAATTAGAAAAATTTCACGAAAATACATGACAATTTTCTGAATCTTTAAACCCGGTAAAATGAACATATATGAAATTACCTGATCGCGAAAAAGTATATACCCTTTCCAAATATGAACATTTCCACATATAAAACAAATAAAATATCGAAAAACTTTTACCTCTAAATCATCTATTATATTACAAACGTCACCAACGAATTCATACCGCAAGCATTACAAATACTTAGTGTCAAATATTTAAGTTATTTCCATGCACGTTTACTTCAACTGAAACGTATACCAAATTCCTACAAACATAAAATTCACAAAATAACTATCATTTAATTAAAATATCACTAAACCATGTACACGTTGACTTATTTTTACTTTAAAAAAAAAAAATCCCAGAATTGCACAAAAATGGCATTGCGCACACTCTTCACCATATCCATGTATACTGCTTTTTTCTCATAAATTAGAAAAATTTCACGAAAATGCATGACAATTTTCTCAATCTTTAAACCCGTTAAAAAGAACATATATGAAATTACCTAATAACGAAAAAGTATATACCCTTTCCAAATATGAACATTTCCACGTATAAAATAAATAAAATATCCAAAAACTTTTACCTCTAAATTATCTATTATATTATAAACGTCACCAACGAATTCATACCGCAAACATTACAAATACTTAGTGTCAAATATTTAAATTATTTCCATGCACGTTTACTTCAACTAAAAACGTATACCAAATTCCTACAAACATAAAATTCACAAAATAACTATCATTTAATTAATATAATTAAATTCAAAAACACTACTTAAAATAGAAATAAGCACATACATTAAATTAATAAAAATTAGCTTACAATCCTAATTACTTTAAACTAAATCACTGCTAATAACAATTTTCCCAATAATACCAAATTACTTTACTTCCACCTTACATTTAGAACAATGCATAAAAATAATATCCTCAAATAATTAAAAATACTAACTTACCTAATCTTCAGAATCTTGCTTACATGGTGGATACACTTTTATTATGGATTCAATAAAATTACTGAACGATTTTTTCTGCGAATTTTTCCTCCACACTTCTTTTGAATTATCACACAAACGCATTAAAAATCTAGAATTCACTTTAGATAGCGCCATACAATCCCAAAATTATTCAACCCTACTTCACACAACACACAATGAATACAAAATAATATACAGCCACAGATATTTTTCCAAATCCCCCCCTTTTCCGATTAAAGAACCGTAATTCATCTATTAATATCACATGACATATCCCATGATCTTTCATTTCCCTCACACAAAATAATGCGTAATCGGAACTGAGTACTGCTCACATTATTACCAAAGTCCCAGGTAGTATCGCCTCCAAAATGTCGCCAAACTACCAGTTACCATATTCTAAAGATCAGCCGTTTTTGTTTCGGATTTTTAGCTAAATTGTGTGTTCAAAACGTAGTTTTTGCATGTGCAAAAACCGCGTTTTTGGAGACATTTTTTAGGCTAAAAGTTCGAATGTAGACAAAAATTTAGATAGTAATATGGCAGCGTTGAAGTTTCTCGCCAAAAATATTTGGCGAGAAATTTGGCGACTTGAGGGCGCATATCAGAGTAGTTCCTTTTTTTTTAGTAGTTGTATTCTAAATTCCAACAGTTTTTATATATATTAATATGATATTCCTTGTCTTAAATTCATTTTTAAAAATATACTTGTAAGAAACTGCGATACAATTTCTATGGGAATACGGTATTTAGCCATAAATTCATTGAAGGGAACAATTGTTTTGAATCTCTTCTTAAAGCAATCGACAAGAAATCCATCAGAATAAAAGAAACAAAAGTTACCTTGTAAGGTTATGGATTGTTTCTAAGATAAATACTTAATTAAGATGTAAAATATGCCTGTAATAATATGTTTGTGCATAATAATTATATATATATATATATATATATATATAATATTATGTATATATATATATTTTTTTTTTTACATTTATAAGACATCATTCTTTTTCTTTCACAAAATTCGTCAAACTGTGCACAGGTGGTTGTGCTATACCTGAATATCACTCACCATCACAATAAAGTTTTTATAGATTTGAAAAAAAATAAGCAATAAGTTTTACTAAATGGCACTCCATATAGTCATGGAGATATTTTTGAACAATCATAAATATATTTAATAATTAAGTAATCATATGCTAGATATATATATTTAAGGAATTTGTAAGCTTCACACACACACACACACAAAAAAAAAAAAAAAAAAAAAGATGATATGATGAAATTTCTGTGCTTCAAATCAACCTGCCTTTCATGCTTGGTAAAACCATCACAGCAGTTGAGTCATCTATCAGCTTTTTGGATAAGATCAAGTATAGAAATTACACAGAAAGCTGAACCTCTGCAAGAAAATATCTGAAGAAAAAAAAAAAGAAAAAAAAAAGAAAGAAAGAAAAAAAAAAAAAAAAAGTTTTTTTGATAAATTACTTAAAGAAATCAGAATGCTCAGACAGATACATAGCAGCCCTAATACTAAACAACTGTCCCAGCACAAACGTGAAATTGAGTGAAATGTACAGATTTTTCTCTCTATATTTCTCTGCACAACACACATATTTCAAATACGTAACATTAACGGTTGACCTTTTTTTAGTGAAATTAAATGTAGTAACAGAAAGTTTATTTTGATGCTAAAAACAATGAAACTTCTTATGGCAATCACCTATAAAGATAACTGGTCATTTGGAAAGCATAAATAGGTATTAATAATGAATATCAGCAACAGTTATAGGTAAAATCCTAGTATATGGTGCAGCCTTGGCACGATTTTGAAAATTATCGCCAACACCAAAAATGACCCAAACAACATCTAACTATACACTATAACATACCCAAACAAGTCTATGTATACTATTACACTATATACTAAGTAATACTATGTGAACTATATATATTCTTTGAATGACCCGTTTACTTCTCATCGTATATGTCCCGTTTTTATTGCTCATCATAAAGTCGCCAAAAGTAGCCAAATCCCATGTGCACCGGATACTAGGATTAACCCCAGTTATATTCTCTAACATGATTACTTCTATAAAAAAATGAACATTATTTGGTAGTTATCACTAGGAGTTATGGACAAGTGGAAAGAAAATGCAGTAATTGTTTGAAAAACAATAATAACTTTCAGTTTCTTTTTGTACCACCAAAATGTCAATGCCAGATTGCCTTGGAACAATTCTGGGTTGATCTTTACAATATGGTAACTGGTAGTTTGGTGACATTTTGGAGGCGATAAAAGTTACTACCTGGGACTTTGGTAATAATGTGAGCAGTACTCAGTTCCGATTACGCATTATTTTGTGTGGGGGAAATGAGAGATCATGGGATATGTCATGTGATATTAATGGACGAATTACGGTTCTTTATTTGGAAAAAGGGGGGAAATCGGGAAAAAAATTGGAAATTTTGTATTTGGCTTTATTCTGTGTTGTGTGAAACAGTCTTGGTTAATTTTTGGATCCCATGGCCGTAACTAAAGTGAATTCGAAATGGGTATTTAGGGTATTGGGAAAGGGTAGTAATAATGTTTGTTTAAGGTTGTGCGAGAAGACCATAAGGATAGAATAAAAAGTTTATCGGACACGTAATCAAGATTCTGAAGAAAATTAGGTAAGTTAGTATTTTTAATTATTTGAGGATATTATTTTTATGCATTGTTCTAAATGTAAGGTGGAAAGGAATTTGGTATTATTGGGAAAATTGTTATTAGCAATGATTTAGTTTAAAGTAATTAGGATTGTAAGCTAATTTTTATTAATTTAATATATGTGCTCATTTATATTTTAAGTAGTGTTTTTGAATTTAATTATATTTTAATGAAATGATAGTTATTTTGTGAATTTTATGTTTGTAGGAATTTGGTATACGTTTTAGTTGAAGTAACGTGCATGGAAATAATTTAAATATTGACACTAAGTATTTGTAATGGTTGCGGTATGAATTCGTTGGTGACGTTTATATATAAAAGATGATTTAGAGGTAAAAGTTTTTGGATATTTTATTTATTTTATATGTGGAAATGTTCATATTTGGAAAGGGTAAATACTTTTTCGCGATCAGGTAATTTCATATATGTTCTTTTTTACCGGGTTTTAAAGATTGAGAAAATTGTCATGTATTTTCGTGAAATTTTTCTAATTTATGAGAAAAAAGCAGTGTACATGGATATAGTGAAGAGTGTGCGCAATGCCATTTTGTGCAATTCGGGGATGTTTTTTTAAGTAAAAATAAGTCGGCGTGTACATGGTTTATGTGTATGTGTTTGTAAGGAGTATGGTATGGCACTTTTCCCAATTTTGCAGTGAATATTTGTCACGTTTAAGCAGTTTTGTTTGATAAAATTTCTAGCATAAGTGTAATTCAACTAGTAGATTGTTGGAAGAAGTGTTCAGTAGATAAAAAGAAAAGAAACATGTCTTTACTTCATGAAGACAAAATGGCAGCGGGGAAAAAAAATAGAGGGCTGCTATAGGAGAGTTGGTCGCCAAATTTTCGCCAAGTTACCATAATGTAAAGATCAACCCAATTCTGTTCATATTATCCAAGATATAAAAAAATTAAATGGCCATTAATTAAATATGTACGAGACATAAAACTATATTATGAGCATTCATCATAACTCAATAACATAAAGTAATAACTTTTATCACTTACAGTAAAACACTTTAAAACATTAAAATTTAAGATAAATTAATTAACATTAAGATCGTTATTTAGAATACTAAAGAAGAAAAAGAGCCTTACCCTGCTAGGTGTAGTATTTTCTTCTCCATCTCTTTTTCTCTTAAGGGATGTAGGTGTCTGTGGGTATTTATTTTGCTTCCCATTGTTTAATCGATTGTGTAAAGCAGTGACATCAACAGCAGTTAATGGACTAATTTCTTCAAAACTTCGAGGTTTTGTCGATAACAATCGTTCTTTCGTTCCTATACGTTTTGTGTCTTTCAGGCTTTCAACCTTTGCTAATAATGTTTTCAAAAATGCATTCAGTTTACCAGGAGGGCAGTTTGAAATAAATATTTGAATATATGGACTTTTTAAGGTTATAGTGGCCTTCCCTTCTTTCACAAATTTAGTATGAAGAGTCATGTCTTTAATTCCATAGGCATAGTTAGTTTTTCCGCAATCTATCTTCAAAATAATATCTCTAAATTCATTTCGTCCAAGTTGCAGTACACTTTTGGCATTTGCAATGTTTCTAGTAGCACAGCCTTTGTTATCTAAATAATTAATTTTCACAGAACATAAAAGTGACAGATCTTGTTCAGACATTTTTTAACAAAACTGCGCTACCTAAAATCAAAATATTTAAAAGTCATAAAATTGCTCCTTTAGCGCGAAAGCTAACAGAGAACTTTCTTATAAGATGTTTAATTAACTAATAAACAAAATTAGTAGTTTCATTTAAATGCTCTTTTCCAGATGTTTTAATAATGCAATCCAAATATGAAGCAGTAGACGAAAATAACATTTCAAATTCCCGCTTTTTCCGCGGTCACAAATAAAGAAATTGAACGTCAAAATTTCTTTGTTGAGGGATGTCCTTTGCCAATAACTGCGATGTTTTCCGACTATAAAGTTGAATTTCATAATATTTTTGATTTTTCGTAGAGACGTAATTAGATTATGAGTTTCTGCTTCGAAATTTAATGAATATTGAATATTTTGTGGGAATTCTTTATAAAAATCATAATGATACCATTTGAATAGTGTCCGATTTCATCATTTTCGGCGCCCTGGGCAATTATTACAGGTGGTTAATTGAAATGTATAAATTAAACATATTAATAATTCTAAGAAAAATGTATTTTTATTTAATACTTACTTGAATGAACAGTTTATCTGTTGCATTAAAACTTGTCGCCTTATTAGGCGGCTTCTTGGGTCGCCTATACTTAGATGGTGCTTTGATTTAATTTCATCAATAATTTGTTACACATGATAACAAATTTTATTTTAAAAGAATATGAAACTATAAAGTAAAAAATCACTATAAGGTAAAAAATGATATGAAATCATTGAAATAGAGACTTAATGGAGAGGAAGAAATCATGAGATTTCTCCTATAATTAATGATTCGATACGATTTTTTGAGTTTTGTTTTGAATTTTAAAACTCGCCGGTAGGTGCATGTTTACAAAATCTGTGCATTAAATACATTTGAAATATAAACATTTGAGTGAGAGTGAATCAGTATATGTAGATTTTTTTAAAAAATTTCAGTTATTATTTTGTAGTTATGCACGTGTATCCCTTATTAAGAGCTGGATTTACGAGGCGATGCTGTCTGATTCATATTTTGAGAAATCTGTCTTCTTCTGGTAAAAATCAAGGTATCACGTATTATTGTATTATTTTATAATTGTACTTTTAAGATCCGTAGCTTGTATTAAACTCGCATTTTAACCTTTTGATCATAAAAGTTTGATTCGTAATATGATTGCTGATTTGTTAAACTATCCAATCCCTACTAGTTGGGCCTAACGTAACTGGTTAACGATCATTTCTTAATTCACTGTGGTAGGCATACGTTGTTTGGATTCCATGAAATCTTCCATTTCTATGTTATACAGCATCATAATTAATACTCAGTAAAGAATATTGGGTACTTTTCCGTTTCGCCGGCGCAAATCTCGCCAGCAGACTTTATTGGCAGCAACATACAGTATACACACAAAAAATTTTAAGAATTTTTTATTTTGAAGGCATAATCATTTTAATATCGTTTAAAATTGTGTAAAAAGCCAATAAATAAAAACAATAAATTTGTAAAATAACATTAGTTTAAGAATTTACTATGCTTTCATGGTTCAATATCCTGATTCGCCAGTTCGTATCACATGACCCCAAGTGATTACATCTCACATAAACTACGCTACAAAAATCTAATTTTCTCAGTAACTATCTACATTAATTTCAAGTTAAATCTTAATTTGGAATACAAGTTTAAGTGAAAGAATTATTTCAGTTTGTACGAATAGCTTACTTTGAAATTATGTAAAATCGCAGTGCTTTATTTCACTAGTGCATTCTCATTAGAATTGATGAATTTAACCTTTGACTTTTTCTTTTCTATGTTTGTGCCTTCGAGTGAGCGGTGTGATTACATTGTAATTGACTTAATTACCGTGAATGGCCTTAGGACTTAAAATTGAACCACCTGGTAAAAATTCTATGTAATTGTATGCCAATATTGAAAGAAACAATCAATCTGATAAGAAATGGCTGCGACTTGTTTTGAAAATGAGGTGTAAAAGGTTACCAGCGAAGATATTCCATTTGGCATCTAGTTGTACCATTATCGGTGACTTTATCGCCTGCGCCGGCAAAACAGAAGAGTACCGAACATTTTCTTTATTGATATATCATTGAATTTTGGAACTACTCTGATATGTGCCCTCAAGTCGCCAAATATTTTTGGCGAGAAACTTCACGCTGCCATATTACTATCTAAATTTTTTTTCTACATTTCGAACTTTAAGTCCAAATGTCTCCAAAACCACGGTTTTCGCAATTGCAAACTACGTTTTGAACACAGCAATTTTTAAGCTAAAAATCCGAAACAAAAAACAAAAAACTTAGAATAGCAAAAAAGTAAAGTTTCTAACCAAAATTTTGACAAGACCATATGTTACACTGTACACAGCGACAGTTTTAACTTAAAAAACATCTACGAATGGCACACGTAGGCAACAACGAATTACGACTACGCACACCTCGCTTTAATAAATTAACATAACCATAATAAATTTCAAAGAATACCTTGTACACATCGTTTGATTCACTTTAAAAAAAATCTACGAATTGCACCATCTAACAAAAAACAAATCAAAAAATAAACTAAAAAAAATTTCAGCAATTCAAAACAACAACGGAAATTCATAAACAACTTTAAAAAACTACGAATTGCACAATCTACACTAAAAACAAATCAAGAAATAAACTAAAATAATTTCAGACATTCAAAAAACCAATAAAACGGAATTCATACAAAAACAAGAATATAACATTCTACAAAATAAAACAATAAAAAAAATGCACTTAACATAATGAAGCTTCTTTTAAAGGGCAGAAATATCTTTCCCCCCATCTTCTCAGGTACAGAGCATACAAAGTCCAAAATACATTCGTTAAAATTTCGCCACACACAGCGGGTCTGTCAGAAAACTTCCATGATTTTGCTATATCACATGCCTTCCGACTCAAAATTTCGAAAGTAACAATAAAAACTTCCTCCAAACTTTTAACTTGCTACACGAAAGCCAGATCCAAACCTTAAACTCCGCTGACACCACATACTTATTAGCAACAATTTTACTGCAAAACCCACACAAGTCTATCAGAAACACCATTTTCGTCCGAGTTCCCATATCAGCTCGCATTTCGGACACATCAAACTCCGTTTTAAAGTCCCGACTCCCACAGAAAATTCCAAAAATACACTACGATCCCCATAAACATCTGTGAACAAAGACTCGTTAACAACTCCAACATCGTACTTTTCATACTAAATTTACTCTGCACACAATCTAAATACGCGGCTGAAACTTCCCACCACGTCTTTCATCGCAACATAGGCCATTTCAAAACCACCGCGACACGAACCAACTAGCAATTATTAAACTATTTCACTAAAAGATTTTTCAACGCCGACATGATTGCCATACAACACGCAATCACGCCAAAAACCAGCGCAAAACACATATTGCCACATTTGGTGAAATTAGGGCGTTTATCAGAGTTGTACCTGAATTTTTTTTTACATCAAATAAATATTAATATTATTTGAATTTTCACACCCTCCACCAAAATGTCTCGAACTCGCAATTTTAGAGTGGAACATTTGTATGGGTATATTTATGTCTGATTCAAAGATGCATCCACTACACCTGTTTTCTTTCTTTCTTTTTTACATTCATTAAAGAAAAAAGTGACTACTCTTATATAAGCCCTTGCTTGGCGAGAAAATCCACGGTGCCATATTACCATCTAAATTTTTTGTCTACATTTCGAACTTTAAGCCTAAAATGTCTCCAAGCGGTTTTTGCACAGGCAAAAATCACGTTTTGAACACACAATTTAAGCTAAAAATCCGAAACAGAAACAAAAAATTTAGATAGCAGAAACATAAAAAGTATTAACCAAAAATATTTGACAAGAATCCATGTATACAGCGATATATTTTAACAAAAAAAAAAACATCTTCAAATTGCACTTTCTAGGCAGCAAAGAATTACGACTACGCACCCACGCTTTAATAAATTAACATACAACATAAATTTCAAAAGAATACCATGTACACAGCATTCTGTTTAACTTAAAAAAAAATATCCATGAATTGCACAAACTAGGCATTGCGCACAAATCAACAAAATAAACTAAAATAACAAAAGTAAATTTCAAATAATTAAAAAACAACAATAAAAACAGAAATTCATAGTAAAATAACAATGAACATAACATTCTACAAAATAAAAACAATAAAATAAAATGTACTTACCATAATACATTCGTGAATAAAATTTCGCCAGTCACACAACGTCTGTCAACAATTTTGCTATATCACATGTCTTTCTGCGATTCAAAATTTCAAAAGTAACATTAAAAACTTACTACACGAAAACCACGATCCATATCTTTTAACCCCACTGACAGCCACATACTTTACCAGCAACCGTTTGACTGTAAACCCACACAAGTCTTATCATATCAGAGTTATCATACCAGCTCCCACATGATTTTTCATATCAGCTCTGCATTTCAGACAGTCCTGACTCCCGCAGAAATTCCAAAAATAAAATTGATCCGCATAAACGCACCCGTGAACAAAAGACTTGTTAACAACTCCAACATCGTACCTTTTAATACTAAATTTACTTTCCACACAATCTAAACTACATGACTGAAATCTTGCCACCATGTCTCTCTTTGCAACATAGGCCATTTCAAAACATGCATGACATGAACCAATGAGCAATTAAACGACTGCAGCAAAAGAATTAAGTTTCAATGTCGAAAGGGTTGCCATACAAACAACATCGTCCCCAAAACCATCGCATAGCATAGAGTCGCGCCAAAAACCAGCGCAGAACACATATCACCACATTTGGTGATCTTAGGGCGTATATAAAAGAAGAGAGAAAAAATGCTTATCTTTTCTGAGGAATTCTCATCAAGTTTGCACTTGTTTCTGTGTTCACAGCAATCTGTTATCAAAAGAAAAAAAATATATCAGAGAGTTGCATAAATTCAGCATTACACACACCCTTCATATTACATTATGGTTATAACTGAGATCATCCAAGACCAGTTTGGACTTCAACTTGCACTCTAATGCAATGAAAATAATAGAAGAAAAACTTCACAATTCCATTAGGATTTGCTGACAAAAACTAATGTACTCAATGCAAAATGAAATGTGAATCAAAAAATGACCATTAAATTTCTAAAGTGCAAATCCACATGCATTCAGACACTTGTCTCTTAAGCATATACCTGGGTTACCACATAACTGCTTTTAGCCAACATCGGGGATTGTGTCATAAATACTTTGTGGTGACATGGTGTGTTGTCTGATCAGTACTTTTTCACAGCTTTTGGTGCGGTTGCAGTTAGTCATACCCAAATATTATTTCTCTGTTTGAAAAACTATTACATGAGAAATATATTGAAATAATAATAAAACTTTTTCTTAATGGAGTTATGTATAATAAACCAGAAATTGTCCTTAGTTTGATGTTAATTTCAAAATTTAAGTTTAGGTGCAGTTTAATAAATACAATAAAATCCCACTTAATGCAGAGGGTTATGTTCCATTAAAGTAGAGCATTATAGGAAATAGCATTAAACGAGATCATCTCATCATGTAAAATAATGGGGTTATTAGGAAACGGGTATAAAATAAAAAAGTATTTTATTATTTAAGTTTATTAACTGATTTGTATAACAATACAAAATAAAAAAATGATTTCATACAAATATTGAAACATAATGAATGAGTGTATAGAAATAAATAAAATTTGAAGTCATCTTTTATATATTAGATCTTTCAGATTTATCTGCATTTTCAATTTTCTTTTTAAATCAAGAAGGTATTTAATGTCATTTGTATTTTTCTTTTGCGATCCACAAGAAACTGTCGATAAGGAAACAAGGCATCCATGACACCCTGTCTTGCCTTTGAACTCCTATCAAAATCTGCGTCATTTTCAATAAATAAAGTTCGTCATTATTTCTGTTACAGAAGTTAAACTGGTTTTTAGAAATGTCGTTCAAAGTTGTTTTTTCTCTTCTTTAGAGTTGCTATTTTTAATATTTTGGTTTTCTTGATCTGTTAATTCCTTGAGCTCATCATTAGAAAGACTTTCTGCTGTTTCTTGCAAAATTTCTTTGAGATCATCCACATTTATTTCGTCTAAAACTGTTTCTTTCCCTAATTCCGCTATTTTGTTCATATTAACAACAGAATCTTTAGTGTCATATCCTTGTTACCATTTTCCCATTACCTCAATTCAAGAAAGATTTATGTTTTCTTTAGCATCCATGATATTATAAACTAAACTCAGTGGTGCAACAGCCCTATTGGACCATGGCCTGCAGTGTCCCGAAATCTGCTTTCTGGGGTGTGGTCATGTGGTCAGCTTGTCGCAGGAGCTGTGGTGTTTAGTCCCCAAGCGAACTTGGTACTAATTTTATTGACCCCTTCAATGGATGAAAGGCTGAGTCAACCTTGCCCAGCCTGGGGTGCAGCTGCGCAATTGGCTAGCCACTAGGCGGTTACCCATGAAATTATAGTTCCTCCAAAAATCTCTTATTAATTGTTTTTCATCTCCATCTGTTTTTTAAAACATTTGTCTAAATGTTTGCTGCAGGTAATAAGCTTTAAAATTTGATTTAAAACTTTGATCTATCGATTTGATTAATGCAGTTGTGTTAGGCGGCAAGAAAACTGCTGCGACAGAAATGCATGTTATTACATCAGATAAATTCATTGGGTGACTTGGAGCATTATCCTTTAAAAGTAGCACTTTGGGTTCAAGTTTTTTTTATTTCGCAATAGCGTTTTAAAAGATGAACAAAAATAAAAATGTTCAGTGAACAAATTCTGGAAATTTTTCATAGTTATCTATGATTTTTTTACTAGACTTCCATATTACATGTAAAGCTGATTTTGATATTCCTGTCATTGCTCTTGCATTTATGGAACAATAAACAAGAAATGGCTTTAAATTAAAGCTCCATTGGCATTATGACCCTGGAGAAATTTTTTGCAATCTTTCGCAGCTTTCAATCTTGGTCCATATTTTTCTTCACGGAATAGAAATGTATGTTTTGGCAATCTTTTTCAAAATAGGCCTGTTTTATCGACATTAAAAACTAATTCTGGAGGATAATTTCCTCATTCAATTATTGTTCTTAATGTCAAATTCAGGCACCGCTTTTATATCTGCACTTGCTGCTTCTATTGTAATCTGTATGGTATGAAGTTATTTGGATGTTTAAATTTAAAAAACCATCCTTGACTTGCAACGAAATTTTCTGTTGTGTCATCTGTTTCAATCTGAATGTGATTAAAAATTCTTCTTATTTTTCCATTATAATAGCTTGGTTTAATGGCATATTGCATTCAGTTTCATTGTCAATGTTTGTAGAGTCATTTTTCCATCTCCTCTATCGTATTATTTCTAGAATGGGTTCTTCTTTAGTTGCAGACGTTTTTGTAGTTTTAGTTGCTGATGACACTCTGGTACTGTTCTGTTATCGAGACCAGATTCTGAAATGTATGAATGTATGCCCATGTGTATGTATGTATATGCATATATGTACTCACACATACATTCATACTTACAGATATGTATATATATATATGCATGCATGAACGCATACTTCCATATAAACATGCATACATACATACATTTCTGAATCCAGCCCTGAGAACAGAACAGTATCAACACTATTTTTTATTTATTCTTGAGAATTGCCTTTATTCTTGAAGTTGACAATTTCAATGAAACGCCAGTTTGACACTGATGTTCCCCATCACCTAATTTTCATTTTAGTTTCTAGCAAAATGCTTTTTTTTTTTTTTTGCCACTTATTTTTTGTGTTCTTACTACCCTCATATTAAAAAATATCTATTTATCACTATGATTTTACTTACCTAAATTTATTTTGCAATAACAGCCCAAATGTTTGAATAATAGAAATACGTTTGTGTAACACTACAGAGAAGAAGTAATGCAGATTAATTACTTTCAATTTCAGGGAAGCTCACTGCTGCATACATTAAGCGATGTCTTACACACTTGAATGAAATTTATGTCTTACATAGTTTGACATAAATTTCATTCAAAAGATCCATTTAAATATTTTCTAACACTCAAATGATTGAATGTATAAGGAATGAAATCCATGGAATAAAATCAATATCAGATTGCCTTATGAGTTATATTGAGCTGTATGGAATCAAAAGCAAACTAAATGTAAATATTGCATGTTTGAAATGTTGTGTGTTATGTTTACATAATTTTACATTATCTTGAGGAATGAGGAGGGGGAATGAAAAAACTAATATAAGTGTAAAGTATGAACATTTATATAAGAAGATGGTTAAACACATTTTTTTGAACACAATATATTAATCCTTTTGTTGGCTATGTGTATATCAGTAATAAAATTTTTAAACCTAAAATTGCAAATTCCTGCGAGTGCCATTGGTTTATTTTCAAGTTCTGTAATTTAAAGATTATTAAGTTGTATGAACCAAAGTGAATATTGAGTTTAGAGCGTAAACTTTTAATTATGTGCATGTTGAATTTTCAGTCTAATATATAAATGTAAAGTAATGAATAATTATTTCATACATGTATGTGTTTTTCAGACGTAGCATTATATTTCCTGAATTTAATTTATTGTAACTGCAGTATTTGTTCAGTTGCTTAGCATTATTAGAATTTTATTATATTTAGTTGTTTGCATATTATTATAATCTGTTTTGTTTATGATATCAGTGCAGTCTGAACCAGCTGAATACCGTCGGGAATACATAAAGATAAAACCACCACAAGCACCTCATCCAGTGAAACTAAAGCCTCTATATTTAGATGTCCAAGCCACAACTCCTATTGTATGTATTCCTTAAAGTGTTTCCAGTTAGCAGCTTATGGTTATGTTTTATATGATATTTGAAATGAAAGAATGTTAAGTGTCATTTTATTAACATTTAAAAATTTTCAAATCTTTTTCATTACTTGCTTTTTAAAAAAAAAGTAAATTATGAAACCATATAAAAATGATTTGAGCACACCCTAAAACAACCACCCATGTTCCATTTTAATACAATTTTCTGTGGAGATGGTCATCTTAGAGAAAATGATCCATCTTAGTTGTGGTGAATTTATGATCAAAATTGTTGATTTATTTTATTGTATTCAAAACTTTGATGGTTCAGGGAAAGAGTACTCCTTGTTAAAACCATCAACAATCGTCAAAATTAGAAAGCTAGTCACTAAAATTGACAAAATGTAATGCAAGTAAAAACAATAATGTGTCATTTAATATAATATATATAACATGTAATGTATGTGACATCGAATTTGTGCATTTTTCTGATTTTTAAGCAAAAACAAATTGCTGTTTACATGGGAAGAATAATAGTAATGTATTGTATAATAAATTATGTGAGTACCCTAGCATTATCCATCCAACCCTCCCGTAAAATGGGCAATTGTTTGTGACGAATTTTTCACCAGCCTAACATGTGAAAATCAGTAGCCATTTTAAAATATGACAGCACATTGAAAATCACAGTAGACAAAAATGAATTAATGGAATTAACACAAGAAATATCCACAATCAATCATAAAACACTAAAAATTGCTAAAAACAAACATCCATACAACATATGAACACTCAAAATTACATGAATGAGTAACATGTTATCTAAATTAAAAACACGATAAACGTCCATTAAATACTTAACTTTCTTTTTTCCTGCCCTTCTGTCCATGTGCACAGCAATCTGTTTTAACTTTAAAAAAAAAATCAGAGAATTGCAGAATGCTCTTTTTTCTGGAGCTGGTGCTGCTCACCGTGTACACGTCAACCTGTTTTAATTTGAAAAAACATCAGAGAATTGCAGGGATTAACTCAATGGAGTGTGCATTCCTATACTGTCTACTTCTAGGCAAAAAGGTGGTTTTGTGATAAAATATATTTTCTTTTCATAACTGACAATTTTACTGTGGCATTACGATTCGATACAAGAAAAAGAAACCCCACATGCTAATCACAACAGTAGGAACAGTTTCTGTTGGGATACTTAAGTTTCTGGACAAAATATGAAACATAAGCATTTCTAATTTATTTCATTTTTCTAATGAAGAGCTCTTAAACAACTTTCTGCTTTTGGGGATGTGAATTGTTTTATTAAGTGGTTCTAAATTTAGCAATTTCAAGATTATTATATTATTTATTTAAAAATTATTTCTGGAGATCTGGGAATTTTTGACAAATTTTTTTAAAACATTTGAACATTGAAAATCATTAAAATAATGATAACATATTGAAATTATATTTAAGGAATAGCATTAAAATGAAATATTTTAATTTTTTGTTACAATAATTACTTTTCATTGTGGCGATTTACTATGCAATATTTTGAATGTGAAATATAAACAAGGTATTAAAGCACAATTTATGAAATAATTCTTAGCAAAAGAAGCAAAATAGCTATGTAATTAATTAAAAATGTCTTCTTTTAATTTTTTCATGGTTAGAGATTTTCACATGCAGTTGTCTCAAAAAAGACATCATTTTTCTGTATAAAATGATTTTGCACATTTTTCCTCTTCCCTCCCTTAAAATATTTCTGGCATTTCACTATTACAGGATTGATAGAGGTAATTTTTCTTTCGGATTATAGGCATTGGCACTTGGAAAGTTTAGAAGGATTTGAAGGCAAGATTTATATACCTAAGATTCTAAAACATTCCAGAAAAGTATGGCAAAATAAAAAATGTCTTCATGGTATTAACACATAATGGGTGTATTTTACAGAAAGTTTGTGGTGATTTTTTTTTAGAGTTTTTAGAAGAACAATGGAAACATAATATTTGAATGTTTTACTTCTGATACTAGAAGTCTTTAACATGTTTTTCTTTCTTCTATTTTCTCTACCTTTCACTTGACAAATGCATGAAAAATGTCGAAAATGCTTGTAATCTTATCACATGGTTGGACATCTATGGAAAAGAATTTTTCTATTTATAAAGAAATTGAAAACTGACAATTTAAAAGATTCATCTTATATATCTCAACTCATCATACGCGGGGCTGGCGCGAGGCATTTTCCCACCTGATGCAATATCTGTGAATACTAAGCTCTGCTACCTAGTGCCTTCCTATATTTTGCTCCCAGTACCTGTCCTAAATTCTAAAGGTTTTGCTATTTCTAGATTTTTTGCTCAGTGGGACACTAAATTCTAAAAATTCGGCCACATTGGCTCCACAACTGGGCCTTGCCATGTATCATTTCATATTTATTCTGAATGCTTATATTACTAAAGAAATAAAATTAGCAGCTTTTTCTGTGCATTTAGTTTTTAGAATAACAGACATCTTTAATTAAGTCCAAAAATGCTAAAATGAAGAGGAAATATATTGAAGAAAGGAACTGAATACATAAAAAGAAAGAAAATTATTCTTCAAAGATATGTACAGTCATTATTATATAGATTAATCAGTTATTTATAATTTCAGTCATTACTGTAACTCTCCTTTTCTTTTTCCTCACCAGAATGCAAAATCAGTTAGATAGTTCCTAAACTGAGGTTTTTGGTTTGTAAAACAGTGTGTGTTTTTGTCTTTGGCACTGCACTCTGCATTAGTTCCTGCCAGCTCTAATAATTTGCAATTATTCATCTTTGTGCTATCATTGCATTTGAATTTGTTATGACGATAGAGTTAATGAGCTAGCTTAGCTTAAAATTAAATTGACTGCTAGTCCACATTTTAGTCTGAATTTGACTGTTTCTGTTTTACTGCATCACCACAAACAGTTTATTTTGTTATCATAGGAATGTGCCTTTATGTTATATTTAAATAAAAGGTTTATTTAAGCCTTTATCTGACTTTATAGTTACTTTCAGACATAGCAATAATTTGCTTCGTGTCTGTCAGGGGTTTTGGACTATTTAACTTTCACCAGATCATGCAAAACCTCATAGGTACATTGTCGAGAGATTGACAGTTATGAGATAAAGCATGCAAAAACTAATGTGAACATTGTTATCAATTTCTAATTGTTAGGAAATATGCTTAAGGAGAAGGAAATTGATATAAATTAGCTAAAATGTCTGAGAAAGCTTCTAATTAAAAAGACGCATAAATATTTTATTGTGTGTTGATACAAAACACAAATGTTTTGTGCATTTTAATGCGTAATTATCCTAATATTGTTTAAGAATCAATGCCATATTTTACTTATGTTTTAAACTGTGAAATGTTATTAGATTGTGATTTTAATAGTGCTTTTTTAACAAACATTTTAAAAAAATAAATAAAATTTTATAATGGCCATTTAAATTTATAATAACTAAGAGTATCTAACTACCTAATTTAATTATTGGTAACCAACTGCTGAAATTACCTCTGCATATTAAAGTGATATATTACCTTTCATTAATATTCATTATAAGATACAGCACAAAAGTGAAAATATCTAAAACTTATTCTTTCCCTAATAAAAATACTTATTCTTTTCATAATACAAAACAACTTGTCACCTATGGTGCTTTAGTGGCTTTTTGGTACCTTAAAGTATATTAACTGGATTAGAACCTCAGGAGCTCTACACGAAGCTACGGCACTATCTGCTTCCGACAGACAGAGCACAACTAACTTTCAAGCCTTGCAAACCATACAGACATCAGGCTTTCAGGTTTGGTCTGATCTCTCTAGGAAAGCAGCAGCGGTGGGTACAGCCAATCTTCTGTTACGAATCATACTGATTATGATTTTACTTCTCATTTTAACCTCTGCCATTTGACATAAAATCTACCTACTATTTGCTAAACCTCTAGGCTGAGGACATTTGTGACAAAATGAGACAAAAGAAAAAGTCAGTATGAAGCTAACTGTTAGTAAAACATAAATAAAATGTCACTAATCCTCTTTCAAATATGTCCCACTAAAGCACAAAAAAGTGTAAAATATTCAATGCTACTTGATAAATGTTGGTTTAAAGTTGAATTTATTCTCAATTTTGTTTAATAATAATGCATCCTACCTACTATTTTATTCTTAGGATGGTATTACAAAAGTGAAGTTCAGGCATAGGTAATATCTTTAACTGAATTTATTCAGCTTCCATTTGCCAATAGGTCCTTAGTATTTTTTTGTTTGTTTGTTTGTTAAAGGTCTTTAAAAGTACTTAATTTCTGTGTGCAGAAATGTGTACGAACCCTGATATATAGTTTAATGGAAATAACAGATTAAATAATTCTATTTACAGAATTCCCATTAATTTTACATCATGAACAATAAAAGCGTGGCATGCCTAAATAATAAAATATGTTAATTTAATTACATTGTCAAATGTATAAGATACTACCTTTTTTAATTTATCAAGAGGCCTCACACTTTAATTGATCATGATATAAAACTGTAGATGAAGTCTGTAAATAAAATTTTTTAATCTATTTTCCCATTTAATTTCATGATAAAATATTTTTCTCTTTTTAGTACATTAATTACCATATCCATTTTAAGTAAAAGCTTGTATATTTTACAAAAACCTTTTTTTAATTGCATTTTTTATTATTGATCTTGATCACATCTTTAGTTTTTGTATATGGCTAGCATTATGGCTTTGTCTGTTGAGTCATTAAATTTTATATTTGATTTAGTAATATCTAAACATTAAAAGTGAAGTTTCATCACAATATGAGATGTATTTACACATTATTACACCATAATTAATGTAAATCACTTTTGTAGCAAACATAAATTGATAATATATTGCTTTAAACTGAGAGCACAAAAACTTTTTTCAGAAAATGAACTTTGATTAATATAATTTTAATTTCATAATTATTTTATTATCTCTTTTGTATTGTTTTTATAAATAGTTGTCTTTACATGTGAATCATTTTTTAATACTTTGATCATTGTTATCATACATCATCTGTTTTCAAATGTGTATAGCAAAGTTGTTAAAAATAACAACTCATCAGTCCTCATTATCAGTATTCAAAATTAATGGATTCTTGATTTTTTCTAAATTTTCATTTTATGTGTTTAATATAGGATCCAAGAGTTTTGGATGCAATGCTACCATATTTTGTTGAAAGTTATGGAAATCCTCATTCTAGGACTCATTCTTATGGATGGGAAAGTGAAGCAGCTGTTGAGAAAGCACGAAAAGTTAGTGGTCTTATATGATTGAAATTAATGTATTGATTGCAGCAAAAATTACAGAATAAAAGTTTTATAGGGGTTCATAATAATTAAAAAAAAAATTCTTTTCAATTTCTGCTTGCATAAATTTTAAAAATGTTAAAATAAATGTACGTTTCGGAGTATTTTCCATTCAGAAGATTTTATTTCTTTGGGTAATAATAATATTCTTCATTATATTATTGCTCTCAATTTAACTCATCAGCACATGCGCTGGGATAAAATCTACCCCATGTGTAGTCTTTTCTTAGAAAATAAGGGAAAGTCATATGTGACCTTTATAGGACTTCTTGTACCTTTTAAGGTCAAGATTAAGAAGGGGGTTGTCCAGAGGAATTTTTCTTGTGCCCTTGGGATTTTGTGTTTTTGCAGGAGGAATGTGAAATGAGATTGTAGCTACCCCGAGCATGTGCTAACTTTTCACTTCTAGAGAGACATTCATTGAGATGAGTGCGTACGAGCGAGAACAGCAACGACTGCAGGATCTTCTTGCTAATGTTGAAACTGATAGCGAAATTGAAGATCCCAATTCTGTGTGCGATAATATTTCTGAAAGTGTGTACTAAACTGAATCTGTACACACTATCATAAATCATGTATTCTAAATCATGCAGTCTCATGATTCACATGATTTAGGGAGCACTCTTTGACATCAGATGATTTTTAAGAGGAAAAGACAGAACGAAGTAAAGTAAAAAATTACCCTTGAAAGACGTTTGGACATGTCCACACAATATAGTGAAACATTTACTTGGTGTCAAAAAAAGCTTTAGAAATTTGAAGTCCCAGTTGAGTGTTTATTGCAAATTTTTGATGATGAAATAATGAAAGATTTGGTGAAATCACCAAATATTTACATTTCATCAATAACAAGCAAATTCTCCAGAGAACATGATGCACAAAAGACAAACATAGCTGAATTGATGGCATTGTTTGGCCTATTTTACTATGTTGGAGTGCTGAGAGTAGTAGCACATCTAAATGCAAAAGATTTGTGATCACCTGACGGAAGTAGAATAATTATTTTTCAAATAACAATGTCTAGCAAACCGATTTCACTTCCTGTTGAGGTGTATTAGGTTTGATGACATAAATTCATGAGAACAGCGAAAGGTGATGGATAGACTTGCACCTATTAGAAATTTTCTTGAAAAATTTATCATAAACATACAAAAAATGTACTCTTTATCTAAATATTGAACTATAGACGAAAAATTAAAGCCCTTTAAAGAATATTATTATTACCCAAAGAAATAAAATCTTCTGAATGGGAAAATACTCCGAAACGTACATTTATTTTAACATTTTTATAAAATTTATGCAAGCAGAAATTGAAAAGAATTTTTTTCGAGGAAGGTGTCAATTCAGACAATATATAAAATGTTATGCCTGCAAGGTATGGAATAAAAATTTTTGCTTGGTGTGATTCTCGTACATTTTACAAATACAACTTAAAAATTTATGCAGGTCAGCAGCCTGTCGGACCATATAGATAATCAAATGCGGCATTGAATGTTGTACAAAGACTTATTGCACTCATAAGTGGTACAGAAAGAAATATAACTATGGACAATTAGTACATGAGCATTCCTTTGGCCAATGAATTATTGAAAAGCACAAATTGACATGTGTTGGCCAAAGGAACAAAAGATGAGCGTGAAAATTCCACAAGAATTTCTGCCATAAAAATAGGCCTCTGTATTCTTCACTTTTTGGGTTTAGAGCTAAAGAATTAACTCTTACATCATATGTTCCACAAAAAAAAAAGAGTAAATCGGTTCTTGTTCTATCATCCATGAATATAATCAAATCGATCCGTTGTCAAAAAAAAACAGCTCAAGCCCGAAAGGATAACTTTTAACAACTGTTTAGTCTAGGATACTTTAACAACTAAAGGTGGTGCTGATACTGTTGATGAGTTATGTGGAACTTAAGCTGTTTCAGGAAAATGCCACCATTGGCCTCTAACAGTATTTTTCGGACTATTGAACATTGCAGGTATAAATGCTTTTATTATTCATCGATCAAATAACGACCAAGCAAATATGAACCAAAGAGCTTTTCTCAAAGATTTAGCATTAGAGCTTGTGAAAGAACATCTCCTAAAAAGGGCTGCAATTCCATCTCTTTCGAAAGAACTCAAAACTAGTGTTAAAAGGTTGGCAGGAATAGAAGATGCAGCAGACCTTCAATTTCAGAAATTCCAAATAAAGACTTTAGGATGCTGTGATATATGCCTCAGAAAAGAGGATCGCAAAACCTCTGTATCTTGTGCAAACTGCAGCAAATTGGTTTGTAAAATACATGTTCTTACAATATGTGAATTTTTTTCAAAACGAGATATTTTTAATAATTAATCTCAGGTAAGAAGAAGAAGGGGAAAAAAACCTATGTATTGTTTATTTTTTTAGTATTCGTATTTTAAATCTATTCTTTGATATGAATAATTGTACGACATTATATTGAGTTTTAAGGATAACAGCTGGTAAGAATGTGGCCTTTTTATATTCCTCCCTTCATATTCCTATTTCTATTCTATCAAACCACTTTTATACTAAACACTTAAGCCAATATGAGTATCATTATATCATCAAATAAGACATTTCTTTAGGATCATTACTGAAACTCTTGTTTTACTAGTGAACCCTGGAACATTAATACTGCATAGCCTGATTTGACATGTTATGTTTTTACCAATTTTGTGCAGATGAACTTAATCTTATGTAAAAGGGACTACATGAAATTTTACTTTCATCTTGTGCTGCTTTTACAAACCACAGTGGGATTGTAGCTTTTCATGAATTGTACACATGAATCTACCCGCATACCATTTGTACTTCATTCTGAATGCAGTGTTCCTTGATGATGATAATATTAATAAAATTAGGTAACTCATATCTTTCTTGTTTGGGGGACAGGAAACTAACTCCTTGACTACTCTTATAAAGCTGCAGCACAGTGTGCCAACTACTTTTAAACTGCTATTCACCAACCCTGAACTGTCTTGTTTGTGTTGACTTTTATACCAAGGAGTAATAATATTTGAAAGAATTTAGGTACTGTGTACTTTTTTATTAACCCTGATGGTTGGCTGAGATCTTGTTAAACTTCAACTGATCATTCTGAATATTTGAGAAACAGATAATGAACAGCTTCAAGTCACAAATATAGCATTTAAAAATAAAAATAAAAATAAAATAAAATAAATTTTAAAAAAAACATGAATGAATATGAGCTGAAAACATAAGCTAATCAATCTGGCTTTAGAAGTAAAAGTAGTTAACTTATATCCTTGTTTAAAAAAAAAAATAAACTGGCTTACTCAGAATTAATTGGGATTTTATAAAACTAAGGTAAAGATCTAATGAGAATGGTATGATGACTCAATTATCTATTACTAGCCACTATGCGACCAGCCTTCATCTGGCTCTCCTATTATTTTCTTGACTTATGTTTCTTTCTTTGAGGTCCCTTGTCCTTGCTGTTGTTCTAAAAGTCCTATCCCTATGCATCTCAATTCTCTTTCTTCGAATGTTTTATTTGCTTGGGATGATTCTCCATGTTCTCTATCATTTGCTTGTCTTGCATGCAAACATTTCTTTCTTCTTGGTGGCTGAGGATACTTTCAAGAAACTTCTAGAAAAAAAATTTTCAAGAATCTTCTAGGAAAAAAATCTGAAAACATAAATATAAATTGATGCAATTTTATCACTTTTCTCTCGACAAGCGGCCAGTATCCAAAGAAATATTAAATTTTAAAATTGCACAGAATTATGGAATGCCATTGTTGCTGATATAAATGAGATAGAATTATGGATTTCATTAAAAAAAAATACATAAGATAAAAAACTCATTAAAATTTTGAAAAAATCGTTTTGAGTTGTCATGGCTCTTGTCTAGATGAACCTATGTACCAAATTTCGTAGCCCTTAGTCTATTAGCTTATGCGCAGCAGGAACGAAAGACACACACACAAACAGACTCTTCCTTTTATTATATGCAGAGGCTCTAAATCACTGTTTGGCAGCAGTGTTTATTTGTTAAAAGTGGAGGATATACGTATCAGAATGTTTTACATGAAATAGGAACTAAACCTGTATTAAAAGTATTGCATTTGTTCATAGTACTATCAGTGCTGACATCAGACAAATATTTTGCTTTTGTAATTTGTGCATAGCTATGTATTAACAGATCTCTTTATTATGATGATTTGAATATTATCTAATTACTATATCTATTTGAAAATAAAACTGTCTATTTCTTTTTTCTTGGGTGGGGTTTTTATTTTTTGTTCTAAAATTTGGCAGGGTCTTACAATCAGGTATTTTAATAAATTGATTGCAGAATAATAGAAAGGTGGGTTCTGTTCTGTTATCGAGACAGGGCCCAGAAATGTGTGTATATATGCATGTATGCAGGGCTGTGAAGTCGGTGGGGAAAATGACCAACTCCGACTCCTGGAAGTTTAAAGACTCCGACTCCTTCATATATATATGTAAACAGACAGGGTGTTTCATAGATCATGGGACAAACTTGGAGGGGTGGTGGAGTGTCCTAAAACATGCATTTTTTGTATAGGAATGTAGGGTCTAAAGGACGTTAAGGCAGGAACGAAAAACTACTTAGAGAAATGTTTTATGTACAAAATCGCAAGTGCTCTTTGCAGCAATACAGTATTTCACAAAATGTTAAAAGGGAAACACTAACAGTATAGGAACTACAGCTGTGATTGGCTGGAAATGCACAGAGGTTAGTGAGCCGGCAAACCACGATCGATGCCAGAGGATAATTCGCACTCGATGGTGAGTTTACGCACAGGGAAAAAGCTGACATGCTCTCATGTATGGTGGCTAATGGAACGGCAGAGCAGTATTGTTGTACCGGAACGGTTTCCAACAGGCGTATACCGAAGCACACAATGTTCGAGAGGTTGCATCGATCTCTGTGTGAAAACGAGTCATTTGAAGCCACCTCTGACACTAGGA